ATGTATGTGATACTAGACATGTACCTCTCCTCTTCTTCTTTTTCTTAGGGTTCATCGGCTGTAAACTTTGATGGAAAATTGTGGTTGTTCATTCATGTCTAGACTTTGGTCTCGGTCCAGAGCTTGAACTTTACTTGCACATTTATTTTACTTATAATATGCTTTATTTTTATGCAGACTGTTGGTTCCTTGCCTCTCAGGTAGATGCACTTCGACTTCAAAGGAAACTTCCCTAATTAGTCGGGGCGGGGATCAGGAAGCTGATGAAGTAATGCTGCATGGTTAGTGCAGTCGTGAACTGTGCAGGTAAGGACAAAATCTCCATCCCTTACCTAGGATTGAACCCTGGTCTTCCACTTGAGAGCACAGTGCCCTAAACAAGGCACAAGCCGCCTCTCCATTGGCCAGCTATAATGATCATTAATAATATTGCTGTGTATAGTTCCAGAAGATAGTAGAAAGCTTTCCTGTTGCAGGCATCCCTTGCCAGCTGGGTGACCATACTGAGGATCATGGGAGATCTGCCTGGCGTAGACATGGGGGATACATTGGTCATTGCAGGGGTAGGTCATTTATTTTATTTTTTTTATTTATTTATTTGAAAATAGTCATTAGACTAAAAAATGACCACATTCATTTATTCAAAAGTTAATAATGCATAGAGAGTTAAATCATAGGGACTTAGACTTTAGTATTTTCCCTGGTTTCTGTGTAGTGAAATTGGATGCCCGTGTGCATTGTTGCGCACGTAAAATATCCCTAGGCAGTTGGAAATCCACAAGAGAAGCCTAACAGCACTGCCTAGGCAAAATTTGGAGTTAAAAATCTACCCAAAGTATTGATCCTCGCCGGTGCTACAAAGCCTGTGCACTGAAGTAGAAGTGAGCACTTATGAGTTACTACCCGGGTGCTATGATGTTGATCCGTTGTTCAAACTTCAAACAGAGAGTTAAATAAAACATTAAAAATGAAAACTATGAACCTTATGTTTACTCATTTGTGGTCTGTGGTGCAGAAACCTGGACCATGAACAAGTAATTAAATAGTTTACTTAAAGTTCTGGAGATGAGTTATGTGGGTATGCATTAGAATTAGAATATTCAGTATTTGACTGAGGCAGTGACCATCAAACACAGAGGTTAAATTGAGACTGAAAATGAAATGAGTTATTTAAATGAATGCGAAAGATATAATTAAAATATATCAGCCTCAGTACAAGACACAGGCCTACGATTCTTAAATAAACCATATTGGGGGAAACAATGAATACAAACCCGAGGTAGACAAGGATACAAGTGGGAGGAAAACGTAAAGAGCAAGATATTCCTCGACCGGTTTTCTCTAATATAATGAGTAAAACATTTTAATTGTAATTATCAAGTCAGAGAATATTTGAATTTTAATTATCAAGTCAGAGAACATTTGAATTTTAATTATCAAGTCAGAGAACATTTGAATTTTAATTATCAAGTCAGAGAACATTTGAATTTTTATTATCAAGTCAGAGAACATTTCAGTTGTAATTGTCAAGTCAGGGAACAAATTAATAGCATGTAACAGGCGAGGGCGCAGGCAAAAAAAAAAAAATCAATGGAAAACAAGAGTGGTTACCTTGTAAATTTGCAGAGGGATGGGACCCTTAAGGAGCCTAAGCTTTGTTTAAGTGTGCAGTAAAGATGATGATAATTACTAAGATTATGTGTTGATACATAAAAGAAAGCATCCATGTATGGCTGTGGGTGAGTTGGGGGGGGGGGGGGGGGGGGGGGGCTGGGTACTTAACCAGTTTGCCAGTTTTTTAAAGGGTTGAAAGTGGCCTAAGATGTGTAAGCTGTCAGAATTTTCAGCACCTGATGGTGACAGAATACGTGTGCAAAAATTAAATTATTAAAAAGTGAATCACTTAAACAGTATTTTAGTATTGATAAATGGATATTTTCTGTGTTTGGAAACCAGTTTAACTCTTATCATATTAATTATCATTATCATCATCATCATGTAGCAGGTCCTTTGTAGAATGATCCTATTCAAGGCACAGAAATCAAATTGTAAATGTCCACTAGTCTTAAACTGGATATTCATGTATTACGAGGGCTGTCACTAATCAGGCAGACTATTCTGAATACCCAGGAGGTAAAGTCTACTTGTCTCACCAACACTATTCCTCTTCTTCTGCCTTTCTAGCCCCCAATGGAGCATAGGTCCTCAACCAACTCACGCCAAGTCGTTTTTTCTTTTGCTATCGCATGCAGCTCTCCCGAGGTCCTCCGCATCTTTCTAACTTCATTCTCCAGCTCCCAGCTGTAAACGCAATTCTGGCTGTTCATCCACTTCTAGACTTTAGTCTTCTTCCAGAAACTGAGTTTTACTTGCACATTCATTTTACAGATCTGTATGCAGACTGTTAGTTATTCATCTCTCAGACATTTGCACTCTGATTTTAATGAAAATACACCTTATTAATAGTATTAGCGCAATATGAAAGGTTTTCACCCCCCCCCCCCCCCCAAAAAAAACGCCACATCATTTGTTTTCAAAAACAAGTTGTCTCTAAAACCCACACATGAAGTGCATCATTCAAATACCATCATTCATCATCAGTTACAATTAATCGTCACTCACATAACAGTTTATTAGGCAGAGGTTTAAGACCACCTATAATACATGGACACATGCATCCATCGTCTGCTTCTATTAGTGCTGACAGACACTTAAAACTTTGTTATTCATGCTGTCTCAGATTGGCTAATAAACAGCATCCTTTCTCAAAAGCTGAAATATTTTGGTCATATCAAGCGCCACAACGGATTGGAAGAAATTATAGCAGAAGGCATGGTACCAGGAAGGAGGGGCAGGGGCCGACCGACATGAAGATGGGCACAGGATATAAGTGACTCCTTGAGTGTGAAAGTGCATGAGGCGGGAGAACTGGCGAGAGACCAAGTTTCTTTCAGGCAGACTGTGATGATAGCAACGTTCTGCAAAGGACCTGCTACATGATGATGACTATGAATACATCTCTGGATGGCATGGAAAGAGGTCCATTTCCTACTTTACCTTCAACTGTCAAGGAAGAGAATATCAGAGTATGAATAGTTGATCTTAACTAATTAGGATTCTTTTTTCTTTCTGTTGTCAGACACATGTACCTGTTACATCCAAAGTGAGGTCTGCTTTCAAAGCCAAATACACAAAGAAAGACATTGATGACGCACATAAAAAATACTCAGACTTGGTATGTATGAGTTTTATGTTGTTATGATAATGTATTTTCAGTACTTCTATTCCATTTTGTACTGTGACTTTTATTTTCTTAAAATTTCAAACCTTGAAGCATTGTACCTTAACAAAAGCAGGCAAAAGATGTATTTAGGAAGTTATATGTAGACTTGCTTTACTCTTTTAGTACTAGAGGAAAGTTAAATTAGTTATAAATCAACACATGATTCATTCCTTGATACCGAAAGAGTTAAGCAAAAGCACCATTTCACAGGATGAAGAATATTCAATGCAGAATATTTTTGCAGTTGAAATTAAAGGGTTCTCAACTCAGTACTTAAAAACTAAGTTTGATGATTTTATTAACCCTATGCAACAGTCAAGACCCACCCTCACTGGACTACATATTCCTTTGTAACCATTCTCTGTTGCCCTAGTACAACTGTGCTATATTGTTATATAGTTGAACTGGGTGACTGGGATTTGTACCTGTTTAATATGTTAGTTGTGGACTATCTCCAAGTCCTCAAGAAAAAAAATAGGGGCTTTTGAGCTGAAATGTTACAAACACATTCTCAGAATACTATGCACAAAGAAGAGAAGAAATATTGAAATTTTATAATATCTGAACATCATGGAAGATTGGTTAGTAAACAATGTCTTGGCTCGAAAGCTGAAATACTTTGGCAATATCAAACGCTATGGTGGATTCAAAGAAATAATAACAGAAGGCATGATACTAGAAAGGAGGGGCATGGGCCAACCAACACAAAGATGGGCTCAAGATATAAATGACTCATTGAATATGAAAGTACATGAGGCAGGAGAGCTAGCAAGAAACTGAGTTTCTTACAGGCAGACCGTGATGGGAGTGACGCTGATAATGACCTGTTTGATTCTTATCTTTAGGAAGTTAATTATACAAAATACAACCCTGGAGAGGTTGAGTTGAGTTGATTCAAGAACCAACATCACAGCTCTCGAGGTATGCCCATAAGCGCTCTATCCCCATCTTCAGCAGCAAACTCAGAGTTCCAATACCAATGGGGCCAACAGCCTTCTGAATATACATTCAACTTGCCATTACTCTAAGCATCAAGTATCAACCAGATCCCCTCGTCACCCCATGCTGCATCACTCTCACCAGACTGTGGTGATCCATTTGATCCTCTGGCTTGTACACGCTCTCCCACAAGGTCCTAACCACATTTGCCTTATAATGCATCAGTAGTCCACCAAGTTGTGCAGTGCCAGCCAGTCTGTTCACCCATTCATATAAGCAGTTAACAGAGGAAGACGATGATGATGTATAGGGCACATTCTGGGATAAAATGAATCGTGAAACTTTCAATGAACTGGGAAACATGTTGATTGAAGAAGTGAGAACATTAATGAAAAAAACTCTACAATAAACATTGAGGAGAAAACTCTACAATAAACATTGAGGAGAAAACTCTACAATAAACATTGAGGAGAAAACTCTACAATAAACATTGAGGAGAAAACTCTACAATAAACATTGAGGAGAAAAATCTCAGCTACAGCACTGGGTTTTATTCACGCTATCAAAAAGTTTGCACAGGACAGAAAAGAAGGGATGAGTTTACTGTGAGCCCTGTGTCACATGTAAACAGCAAAACTCATTTGTACACCTTCTCCTCGACTTATAACTGTCTGCACTTACGAGCACAAAAATAAAAAATTTTACCAGCTAATAAACATGTGTTAATAACTAATTGAAAAAAATTTATTAATTAACATTACTAATTAAATAAATAAAATTATTAAGTAAAAAGGATATCTACATAGGTAGGATCAAGAAGTTCCCGGAACTGATGCAGTAGAGTACATATTGTGTATTTTTCACATTATGTACAATAATTATACATACGAAATTGTATTTTTATTTTATTTACAATTTTTATATCCTGTTTAAATAAAAATAATGTTGAAAGATATCAATTCAACTTAGGACCAGTCTGACTTATGACCCGTGAGTCAGAACAGAAGTAGATCATAAGTTTAAGAGACCCTGTATGTTATTTGTATGACATTCTTGCTTTGTTGTGTTTATTCCCAGTTCAAAGACCCTACAGGAACAGATGCTGAATCTTTGCCATTCTTGTCTGCTGCCACTGATTCTATGTTGGACAAGGTACAGTTGGTATGTGCTATGGGGATCTACAAACCTGTGCTCAGGTCAGTGAGCTAGCAATCAATTCCTTTTTATTAATGTCTTTTTTCATGCCTATCAGAACAGCAGGCACACTGTTTACAGCTAAGCTGTGATATCTGTATCTTTCGACCCAACGCATCCAATTTCAGTAAACTCCTAATTAGTTGCCTTTTAGGACATGCTTTAAAAAAAGGCGGTGGGTCTATTTTATTCTCCACAAATTGGGCCCTCAGAACCCACATGGGAAACTCAACTCTTCTGGGACCATCCTGTGATGTTTTTAACTCCTTTAGTTTTGAGAAATTATAGGTTAAAATAGCCAGTGAAAGTGTCAGAATAGTTAAAACAATAACACTACAAGACGGAAGGAGTAAAACTAATCATTTAGATATAATGAGTTCCTAGTGTGGGATGAGGTTCACAAGGGAAGATAAAATCAACAATTTTAGATTACAACAAATAACAGACTTATAAGATGTAAAATTAGAAGAAAAAAATGAAGATGGCAGTGGATTTAACACATCCTAAGAATGAAGAAAGAGAGACGGCCGAGACATGTAATGCAAGGGACACCACAAGGACAGTGAGGCAGAGGCAGAGGCACTTGGAGGTGAACTTTTGAGGCTGAACTCAAGGCTACGCAAAGAACAAAACTGTAGATAGAGAGGATGGCTCAGGATCAAACTGAGTGGCGACAGTTTGTCTCTGCCTTATGTGCCTCTGGGTGCGATGAGGACTGATTGATTGAGTGTAGGATCCAGTTTGGGAGAAACAAGACAGACTTACTGCCCCTCTGACAAGCATTTAATAAAAGGCAACTAATTCTGGAAACTTCTTTTGAAGGAATGCATTTGCCTGAAGGGCGAGGAACCAGCGGTTTGCATAAAAATAAACCATTATGTAAAACAGATGTGCATGCAAAACTCAAATTCTGGAACGAGACTAAACTCTGGGCATGGATGAACAACCACAATTTCCACCTGAGTTTACAGCCACTGAACAAAAAGAAAAGGATATTATGAGTTAATGTAACAACCATCTGAGATGGAAGAGAACCTCTGCGTACTGTTTCTTGAATATCCAGTGAACACATATTGAACTCCATAATGAGTGGCATTGTACTGACAGGGTTTAAAACATTGGTGAGGTAATATAAGGATAAGACAAACCACTAGAGAGCTACTGCAATACTTATTCTAATCGCCTCTATCAATGTTACTCTAGATATCAGTGAGAACATAAAGGAATAAAATAAACACTACAATAAACTCTGAGGAAAAAGACAAGAGATGCAGCATTGGATTTTAAAAACAGTATCAAAAGGAATCCATAGGATAAAATGGATTAAAGGAATTTACAGTGAGCTTTGTGTAATGTATGAACAGCACATGAGGATGTAATGGAAAACAAACCATAATAGAGGAAAAGGTCAAAGGCAAAAATTTTTAAAATCAAGTGGTAGACAATGATACAAGTGGGAGGATGACATCAAGAAATGATGAAGCAGCATGCTATACTACCAAGACAAGAGTCAATCTTCTTCTTCTTCTTCTTCACTTCCTCTTTTACCGCTGTGGGTGTCGAGGGAGATATAAGGTTCTGTTTCTAGCTCTTCTGGCTGCCTCGACCATAGGCACATCGTGCTGTTGTAGAGTTTCTCTGATGTTATCCTTCCATCTTGTTCTTGGTCTACCCCGTGCTCTACGTCCTTCTTCTCTTCCCATGTATGCTTTGTATGGTATGGTGTCACAAGGCATTCTCTCTAAGTGGGCAAACCATTTCACTTGCTGTACAAGAGTCAATGAGTGTTTGATATCCTTTGCAGCCAACCCTTTACAACTTAAGTGAGTCCCAGTCAGAATGAAGAACATCTAATATGAAAGTAAATTCACCCTCTCCCTCTTCTGCCAGACATGGTTGTTCAGAAAAACCAGAAAAGAAGATTAGTAGTGACCATGGAACTGAGATGCGGCGTCCGTGGCCAAGGCGTTGCGAGTCCGACTCGTTAGCCAGCATACCGCGATCGAAACCCACTGCAGGCTGCGTGGATTTTTATCGTAGTATGGGACGTCGCAGGTCGACCCAGCCTAAAATGGGTACCAGGATGGGCTGTCCTGGGAAAGTAAAGACAGCCGGCGTAATGCTGACCACATTACCCACAGAGTGCTGATGGTCTGTAAAAATATGGGACGCTCTGCCCATATGCCTGATGCGCCGAAAGGCGTGAAAAGGGAACTTTACTTTTTTTTTTTTTATGGAACTGAGATGTTTAAAAAAATGACTGCAGGTGTGTAATCAGAAAAGAAAATATCAGAATAAAGTCATAAAAGGAAAAAAAATCATGGAACCAATACCAAACTACACATTAAGTCAGCAATTGAAATGATCTGCCCACTTAGAACACACCAGCAGTCACATCAATTTCTCAGAACACTATGTGATACTGACACTGGTTGGGACATATATGGGTTATACGGTTACAGAATGCTTACACTGGGTGTACCTACTGGAGCAGTGAGAGAAAAAAACCAAGCAGGAGCCACCTGTCATTACATCAGCAAGAATAAAATGGGAGTTGTTAGCCTAAAAACACTTCAAGACATACTCAGGAGGCGACAAAAGTGCATGGGCATTTACAGCTCTCTTCAGTCAGAAGATTCAAGAAGCCAGGGAGGCCTTCTCCATGACTACCAGCCACATGATGATGGAGGTGATGGCAGTGACACAAGCTTTCATGTGGCCAGAATCACTGGACTATTCCCACGTGTGTGTGCTAAGTGACTCTTTGAGCATGATCCGTCTGGTTGAGGCAGGTTAGTTACGCAGACAGTGGTTTGAGTCATTGCAAAACTCTCCTGTGCATACAGTTACCTTCATATTCGTTCCAGGGCATGCAGGCATTGTTGGTAATGAAAGAACTGATAGACTGGCAGGTGCTGCAATAATTGAAGATGGCCCGCCCATGGTTCATGCAGACATTGTCATTGACCTTAGAGAGATAGGACATTCTGAGGATTTGAGAAGCAACTTGTTCACATCGCTGTTAAGAATACGAGGATTGTGAGTAAAGATTGGCACAGCCAGGCATTAGAAGTACACCAGATGCACACAAAGTCTTGTTAGCCAATATAGGTTTGGCACTATTAACTGTGCGACGCTGATGAATACGTTGAGAGGGAAATCTGAGTGGATATGGATGTGTCCGGAGTGCTGTGAAGATAATCTAACTCATAATTCAGAAGGAGATCGGAGCACTTATGTTCAAGTTCAATGTGCCATGAAGATGATCTTTAGATGAGCGGTGAACAATAGTTAATACAATACAATTATTTATGTTGCTGTTTTCCCAGGGATGAGCTGTACTGCCAGCTGTGCAAACAACTGACCAACAACCCATCCAGAAACAGCATCATGAGAGGCTGGGTGCTGTTGAATCTGTTTGCTGGCAGTTTTTCACCATCAGAAAATGTATGTAAACTATTTGCCCTTGAGATATATACTTCTATCTCCCTGTTTTTCCATTTTGGATATCACCTGAAAGTGTGACCACCCCTGTTTGCCCCATATAGAACATCACCTAAAAGTGTGACCACCCCTGTTTGCCCCATATAGGACATCACCTAAAAGTGTGACCACCCCTGTTTGCCCCATATAGGATATCACCTAAAAGTGTGACCACCCCTGTTTGCCCCATAAAGAACATCACCTAAAAGTGTGACCACCCCTGTTTGCATCATATAGAACATCACCTAAAGGTTTGACTACCCCCGTTTGCCCCTCCCCCATTTCTATGAAACATGGCCTAAAGGTTTGACCACCCCTGTTTGCCACATATGGGACATAACCTGAAGATTTGAACACCCCTTTTTGCCCCCCCCCCCCCCTTTTCCCTATGGGTCATAACCTGAAGGTTTGACCACCCCTGTTTGCCACCTTTGGGAAATCGCCTAAAGATTAGATCACCCCTGTTTGCCACTTATGGTATATCACCTAAAGGTTTGACCAACACGTATGGGATGGCATCTGAAGGTTTGACCACCACTGTTTTACCCGTATGACATGGGTTCCTAGTCCATGGATTGCCACACCAAAATGGAGTTATCAAGGGTTTTCTTTGCTGTTGCCAGGCAGTGATTAGCAGTGGCACAGATTTTTAACACTTCTTCTGTGTTGAAAACCAAACTAAGAAACAGATTAAATATTGAGATCGACATGATATTGGTATTATTATTGGGTCAAGGAACTGTACACATGTGGAGTGGAGAAAAGTGTTTGTATAAAGTGTGCATGTCTGAGGTGCCAGTGCCCAACCTGGCCTTCACATCGATCACACTCACATAACCTCAGTGGCATAGGGGAGTCTCAGCAGCACTGGTTGGCATACTTTCCTGAAAACTTAGTTGTAATATGTTTGATTCTCTATGGAGGCAAATTATGTCATTCTCATGGCTTTTAGACAGTGGGGCCATAATCGCTGTGTACGTAATATTTTCAAAGAGATTAATGGAAGCACACACGCACCCACGGCAGCTAACTTCCATTCTAGAGACTGCACAAAATCTATTTATTATTATACAGGTTTGACTCAGCCTCAAAAGGGTATGAGGTAATGTCCTGGGAAGTAAAGATGACCGTCATGATGTTGACCACATTACCCACAGAGTGCCGACAGGTCTAAAAAGACACTTTAGGTCTAGCATTATATTCCCAGAATGCCTTAAGGTGTGAAAAAGTGTTCTTTACTTTTTTTTTACTTTGCTGTTATATAGGGTGGCATATAAAAAATCTGGCAGCCTCCAGACCTCAAACGGGCAGATTTCTTCAAATGCAAGATTTTATTTGTTTGTTTGTATTTTATTTTTATTTTTAACAGACAATGACTGCCTGTCCAGTTCTGTGAAAAATAAATATTAACCACCAATTGAAAGGCAAATTAAATGTTAATGTTCATTAACTAAATAAAACATTTCTACAGGTTTTTTTTTTTAAATCATGAGAGTTTTAATTCAACTAAATAAAATGCCAACATAATAAATTTGCAAATATGCTCAGAAATCTATGCTGGAAATCTGAAGGAACCCAATTGTTGAGCATAGGATTTGTAGATGGCTCTATACAGAAATCACTCACCTTAATATGGCAGAAGCTATGCTTATTGTTGGATGCAGAATTAAATTGATATCCTGAAAATGTACATGCTATAAGAATTTCACACACACAGACACCCACACACAGTCACCCACACACAGACAAACACAGACAGACACCCACACACAGAGACCCACACACACAGACAACCACATAGACACACACACACACAGACACCCACACACACACACAGACACCCATACACAGACACACAAACACAGACACCCACACACAGACACACAAACACAGACACCCACACACAGACTACCACACACAGACACACATAACTGACACCCACCACAAATATATTCTCACAACCTCGCAATGCTTGATATGCTGCACTACCTTCTCCTTCTTCTTGTTTTCCCTAAATCCTGTATTTTCCTTAGAGCATCATATTTTGAAGAGGTATCTGATGCAAGTCTTGGTAGGGCTGCATAGATGCTGGCATTCACAGCCTCGGATATTCCATCTATCCATCACTTGCACTGGCAACCTCTAGGTCTGCTTCCATTGTGTTTTAGTAGCAGAGCTCTCTGTAATGCATTGTCTTGTCTTAGTCAAGGTTTCAATTTCACTGCAATTGGGTTTCCCCATACTTGCTCCTTTCCTGTGCCAGTGAAAATCACATGACATGTCCCTCACTATCCCATTTAAAACACTAGTGAGCAAAGAATTAGTCTGGAACAATCCAGAAATATTTTTATGCAGTAAATGCATATGGCATTTGCTAGAGATGCCAAAGCCAACAATCACCACCAGAAATGCAGTTTGTCGTTGATGGAAGTAGTCGGGCATGATAAGTTGGCTATGCACACGTAGAATTATTACATAAGGTATTTCACCAGTTCACACATAAACTGATATTTAGTACCATGACACAACCGCTGCACAAATGAAAGGCGTTCCACAGGAAAAAAACACAGCTTACAGTGCTGCACCAAGCACTAAACTCAGTATCTCAGGCAGCAAAACCTTAGACTACTGTCCATATATGGAAACTGCATTAGCAAAGCGCTGTCGGAAGCAAAAATAACTTTGAAGCAAAACATTCTGCTATGCCATATCCTCCATTTTAGACCAGAAGTCTCCACTGCTTTATCTCCTATGAAACTGACAGTAGCACCTCTGGCCTCTACTCTGTAGTATCTTGCTTTGCATTTTTCATCAGAGCGACCTTACGACATCTGCTGCCTTGTGCTGGTCCTGACATATGCTGCGTGGATTTTTATCGTGGTATGGGACGTCGCAGGTCGACCCAGCCTAAAATGGGTTCCAGGATGGGCTGTCCTGGGAAAGTAAAGACAGCCGGCGTAATGCTGACCACATTACCCACCGAGTGCTGATGGTCTGTAAAAATATGGGACGCTCTGCCCATATGCCCGATGCGCCGAAAGGCGTGAAAAGGGATCTTTACTTTACTTTTTTACTTTTATTACATGATCAAATGCATGTATCACACATGCTGTGACAATGATATTTCTTTTGTCTCCAGTTTGCCCACATCTTGGTTAACTTTCTGAGAGACAGTCCATCAGAACTGTCAGAAAAAGTGGATAAGTTGTTGCGTCGAACATTTAGTGTGGGAACTCGAGCATACCCACTAAGCTGGCTGGAGTTTCAGGTAGTTTATTTTCCATATACTTGATGTTATGCTCTGTTGATTATGTTTTATGTTGTCTAGCTTCCATCTAACGAGAATGTTCTGGTTACCAACTGCCACAGAGAGCCACACACACACACACACACACACACACAAAAGGATAATGAACATATGAATAAAGCAAAGACAACACAAAATATGGAATGATGGCATCAAGAACAGCTTTAAAGAAAATAATATGAAAAGATATCTAAAAAAAGGTAGATCTAGCCAGCTTTATATTTTCACAATCATTTATGACAGTTAAACTTTGTGGCTAGAAATCCTTCGCTAGCACACGTCATAAAGAGACAGCTTTACATTTATGTCATACAAACTAGAATACACAGAAACACTTTACAGGTCTCTTCAAGAAATATCCATATATTTATCTGGCCAGTTGAAGCTTTAAGACATGTGTGAATATATAAAATGAATACTAGCCAGAAAAAGATGCGGAAGGCAAGCACCATAACTAAAAAATATCAGAAAAAAAATTAACATCAGCTTAGGCAAAACACTATAAAGAGCACATAGAAGATCATTTTATCTCCATCTAACACTTCCATGAGCTAACTGGAGAAAGAGAAGAAGAAATAGTTCATGTTCCATCTGAGTATTAGGTTACAATGTTGATAATGAAGAAATACCTAACTCTTTGAGTCCCAAGATGATGTTTTTTGAATTCATTCTATCCTCATAAGTTTTTATTTTAATGTAATGAGTAAATTCTTGAATCTAAAAATGTTTGAATAATAATAATGTGAAGTTAAAAATGAAGCCAGAGGATCAAGCTTACTGTCGTGGAGTTTATGCTATGTGGCTTAGCTATTCTCCCCAAAATGGCTTAATGCCTGCTAAGAGTGTTGCACAAAGCACAAACTCTGTGCCTCCAATGATGATCCCCAGGGATAAAAGTAAAAACCGTATAAGACGGAAGAGACTGTAAAAATATTTGGAAATGAGTGAGTTAATAAAATGGTTAGAATCAGAAAAGTGAGTTAGGAAAAGTAAACCATGTATATAGAAATGAACAAATGCAAAGGAAGTTCCTTGGTACTGAATGGACTGAAAACTGTGGAGGAAACAGTGCCAGCATGTCGCTATTCCTAGGAAGTGTATGTGCTGTGGAGGAAACAGTACCAGTCTAACCTTAATTCCAGCCAGTCTGTGCTGTGGAGGAAACAGTACCAGTCTAACCTTAATTCCAGCCAGTCTGTATGTGCTGTGGAGGAAACAGTACCAGTCTAACCTTAATTCCAGCCAGTCAGTATGTGCTGTGGAGGAAACAGTACCAGTCTAACCTTAATTCCAGCCAGTCTGTATGTGCTGTGGAGGAAACAGTACCAGTCTAACCTTAATTCCAGCCAGTCGGTGCTGTGGAGGAAACAGTACCAGTCTAACCTTAATTCCAGCCAGTCTGTATGTGCTGTGGAGGAAACAGTACCAGTCTAACCTTAATTCCAGCCAGTCTGTATGTGCTGTCGAGAAAACCGTACCAATCAAAGCTAATTCCAATCAGTTTGTCCTGGTTGTTCATCCACTTGTGAACTTGAATCTAGTTAGAGGACTTGAGTTTTATGTGTGCATCCATTTTACAGATCTGGTTTATTTGTGTTCAGGCTTTTGGATCCTCACCTCTGTGGTAGATGTTTTCCAATTTTTAAGGAACTTTGATACCCATTTCATAATGTTACATTGACCACCAACCTGTTCTGGTCCATAACTAGCATTCGATTACTTATATATTTGCTTCTGAAAAAGTGCAGCAAAGCCTTACATATGATATCACGCCTAGTTTGCAAATGGAGTTGGAGGCAGTCTCTGCTGCCTTCTTCTGGCTTGAGAATCAGCTGTACACACATGCTGTGATTGTAACTGACTCACAGAGCATGTTGAGAAAGGTAGAGACGGGCATGCTTCATGCAGAGTGGCAAGCATCACTTCAGAGGTCCCATGTAGTTAGCATCCTTTGGATATTTTCTCCAGGTCATGCTGGTGTATTGGGAAATGAGCAGGCAGATAGATAGACTGTGTGGCTCTGCACCACTTGGTAGTGAAGAGATGTATGAGAAGTTAGATATTGTGAGTGCCCTTTGGGAGTGAGTGAACAGTGTGAAGGCGCAGATAGATCATTACGATCTGAGGAGAATGGTGCTGCAAGGAGTTATCAGGGAATCTGGCCGACACTCAACACCCAGGGGAAATGCAATCAGTAGGCTTCTGTTAACATCAGAATTGGAACTATTCGCTTGCTGCTGAAAATGGGGACTGAGCCCTAATGGGAGGGTCCTGAGTGCTGTGATATCGATTAGTAATTCAACATTCAACATTCTTCTGAAAAATTATTCATAAGCTGTGGAGATGTGGTTTTATACATAAAGGATTAGAATACCATGGACATATTTTTTTTTTAAAGTAATGAAGATGTCTTGAAAGAAACAGACTCGTTAAGAGAACTGAGTGCCCTCATCAAAAAAAGGTAGTCTGCATTCTTTGGTCATGTGAAAAGGAGAAAACTTTAGTACATCCTGTCAGTAGGAAAATAGGATGGGAGGAAAGGCAGAGGAAGACCAAGAAAAAAGATGCTGGACAGTCTGATATCATGGCATGGAGGATTGTCTGTGTTAGAGTTGACCGAAAGTTCCTGACACAGAAGGTTGTGGATAGACATGACAGCCTGTGCCACATGGCATGGACTTTAGGAGGATATTTGCTTCACCAGGTGCTTACTGTAGGTGAACATTTTTTTTTCTCCATTTCCCTAAATCTGTTCACAGGCAGCCAAAAATGGGAAGCCACTGTTGATTCCAGTCACATTTATGAGCGGTCACAGGATGCTGTTTGAGGTGGACTCGGCCATGACAGTAGCTGAGGTCATCAGAAATGTGGGGGAAAGAGTGGGTCTCAAAGAAACCTCAGGCTACTCTATTTACATATCCCTGCATACAAAGGTGAGTCTCATTTAATTTCATTTCCAAGATAATTAGTTGTAGTTTAATTTCCTGACAAAGTTCTCACGTAGCCAGTGCACCTGTATGGACCAAAAATCTACTGGGATAAGTGGAAAACTGACAGCGCATGTTGTGAAAGGTGGAGTCATGTATGCTCCATACAGAGTGGCAAGCATAATTTCAGAGGTCCCTGGTAGTTAGCATCCTTCGCATATTTTCTCAATTCACACTAGCGTGTTGGTAATCAAGTAGGCAGATAGACTGGCTGGTTCTGCACTACTTGGTGGTGTGACAAGATGGATGTTGTGAGAGATTTTTGGAAGTGAGTGAACAGTGCAGGGGCACAAATAGATCATTATGGTCTGAAGAGAATGATGCTACGAGAAGTTACTAGGGGATCTGGCCAACATTCAACACTGAATGGAAGGGCGAGACAGATGTACAATCAGACAGTTACTGGTGCCATTGGTATTGGAACTCTTTATTTGCTGCTGAAGATAGGAATGGAGTGCTTATGGGAGTGTTGTGGATTCCTAATTCAACATTGAATATTCAATAAGTGGATGCCATTACTGTGTCATCTGATATTAGCAAGAGTAATCACTCTTGTAAGCAAGAGCATTCACTTCCTCTGACAATTAAAAGGTTACCAAAAGCTGAGGGTGTGGTCAAAATCCAAGGACAAACTGGCACATTACTCTCCCAGTTCACTAATAATTGAAACCAAAGATACTTTGACAATTTCAGATGTTGCAATCCCTTGAAAAGATCAGTGGTAGATGGGATGGAGCCAGGTAAGAGTGGCATGGGCCGACCAGTACAAGATTGGTAAATGCAGGATATAGGAGACACCATGGGCAGGAAAGTGCATGAGGCAGAAGAGCTGATAAGTTTCTTTCAGGCAGCCTGTAATGGCAGTTACGTTGCATATTACTTCTTATCTGTATCAACAGAACTTCGACCCATTCATGCCATGTCACCCAATGCAGCAACCATGACAACCTCACCATGATCACCGTACCCAGCATAAGTTTAAGGATATTTTTCAGGAATTCTTATTCTTCTTCTTCGTTTATTATCTCACTGATACCAGGTTGTAGCCCAGTGTCATCGTTTTTCTGAATTTGCCTTGCGCTTCTCAGGTGGCTTGGGTGATGAATTTGTTTATCTTTTTCAGGTTTCAGCTACCCCATTTAGCCATCTCCTTCTTGGTCTTTCTCTTGCCTTCATCCCAGATGTTCTGCTGTAAAAAGTCTCATATGCAGTTTGGTCTGGCTGCATTCTCACTAAATGGCTAAACCATTTCAATTTTTTTTGTCTGTCAATATAATCCAGATATAGTATTATTCTGACTTTTTCTCGTATGGTAGTATTTGTAACCCTGTCTCTTCTTGTGTTGTTAATAACCTTGCTGAGGCAGCTATTTTTTGTTCTAGAGCCCTATTCATTGCCCTTGTTTTGCAGTGATAACATAAAGTTGGGATAAAGATGCTATTAATCATTTGCTGTTTTGCTGGAAAGGAGACATACTGGTGTCTAACCGGTGGGTAACAGGAATTTCCACAGGCTCATGACCTATTTTTTAACAATCCCGCTGTGGAAGGTTAACTCTTTCAGTAGCAGGCACATTTATTGACTCATTATAACTCCAAACAGTTTTTAAATAAAAATAAACTTCTTCATAGTTTCCTGCCTGTCTTTTTAGATTTCCTGTTTGGGTCATGGACAGCACCGGATCATGGACGCCATATCTGAATGTGAGCAGCAGACGAAGCAAATGGGAATGAGAGAAAGTAGCACAGTGTGGAGGATATACTTCCGCAGAGAGTATTTCAGGTCAGCATCGACTCAGCCTTGTATTTTTTAAAAATATATATATATATATATGTGTGTGTGTGTGTGTGTGTGTGTGTGTGTATATATATATATATATATGTATGTATGTGTGTGTCTATATATATATAAAAATATATATATTTATATATATATATATATACACATAATATTTAACACTTTATTCTTTAGTAAATAAGTATGTAAATATCAGTTTTTACAACTTAGTTGCATCAGGTATTTGGGAAGAGCAGCCATATTTTTACAGACCAATCGGCACTAGGTGGGTAATGTGGTCAGCATTACACCAGCCGTCTTTACTTTCCCAGGACATGCATTCTGGTTTATATATAAGGCTGGGTCGACCTGCGACACCCCATACCGAAGATAAGAGAGCAAGAGGTAGGCAACGATAAAAGTGGAAAGACAACATTAAGAGATGGACGAACAGCAATCTGAGAGAGTGTACAACCAGGACAAGAGACAGAGACTGTTGGAGATCCATTGCAGCCAACCTTCATTGTGGACACAGCACCTGATTGATTGATTGAGATACCTGAAGTCCTTTGCTTGCTTGATTTTCAGTTTTCTTTACATATCTTGATTGGTTTTTCCAGTCTGGCAAGCCTCAAACCTCACAGCCTCAGTTTTCTAGTATTCACTGCTTGAAATTAACCTCATTCCTGATTTTATCTTTTCTGGTCACTCCAACTGCCGCTCTTAGAGATAGCATAATCGCATAAAAGGTGAAGGTTTACTTCACTGCACCAGGTTTTATCCCATATGGCTTAATCTTTCTTCACAGACCAGCTGGCCTCTGTAGCTCCACTGACAATATGCAGTTGATGGCTACTAATTTTCATTTTTGGTTTGTGAGTGGTCATATCTGGCACTGGTAGCATAGAGTTGGAATGAATATACTTTGTATAAGATGCTTTTTTGTCTTGATTGGGATTGTCTTATGTGTATAAAGTGTGGGGGAGGGGGGCAGGGGCGGGGGGGGGGGGGGGGAACATGGCTTGCTTTGCAATATTTGGTTTTCCTCATCCAGTTTTTCCATCTTCATTTAATGCTGTTCCCAGGTATTTATCTCACACACCTGTTTAATAGTTCTCTTTAGCACTCTTCTGATATAGCCAAGTAGCTTTTTTCTTCCTATTAACATTACTTTTTTAGAGTTGATTCTCATATTATTTATTTTACTTCCTCATTCATGAATGTGATATGTTGCTGCAGTTGTACCCTGAATCAGCTATCAAGGCCTGGACATCATCAATGGTTTTTCTGTCACTCCTGCATTTGATCTCACTACACTTGACTCTGGTAATACATACATTTATAAATATATGTTTACTAGAAATGCATCGGTGACTGGGTCGCTCATTGGCTCGCTGGTCCGCACAGTATTTGGATCTGTCGCCATTGATCGCATCAACACTGCAGGAATACTTTCAGGGCTCTTGGTCGTGTGCATTGCTAAGCCATTTTATATGGTGCACATACCCTAGTTTACAATTATAACCTAAAGCTCCCCCTTCTGGGTGCTGGTGGATTGATCTTTTTTTTTCTCCAGCAAAGCACCTACCTAACTACTAAACGCTGATAATTGATATGTCTTGTTAATGTTTCCATGCAGCCCATGGTACATTCCTGGAGAAGATGTGGCAGACACAGATTTGGTCTATCAGCAGGTCAGACGGGGTATCACTATGGGAGAGTACAGACCGGAGAAGGTAGGACAGACATGTTGGAGAGGTTCTTTTCCTTACACTTACTTTATCTATGGAATTGAAATTTCTGTAAAGATTTTCTTTTTCGTCTGGTACCAGAGTTCTTTCACCACGGTCAGTGTGTTGTAGAGATCTTCCATCCTTAAGATTGGAAACCAGCAGGATGGCCCAGGAAGGTATTTGTTGAGAGGCATACGAGGATGTTGTTGTTTGCATATTTCCATCTTTCCAGAAGGTAGTGATATACTGTGCTATTGGGAAGTATGGGAATCTCATCCCAATCAACTGAAGAAGACTTGAAAACAAGTCAGTAGTTACAGGGTTTAGTTAGTTGCATCTCCTTTACAAGACATTGCAGAACCAACCCTTGGTTTTTTTAATGGGATGTTGTGGGTTTTTTTTAGGCAAATTTACGTCCAGTAGTTTACCATTGCTTTCTGGACAGTCGGCTTCTCGATACCACTGTCAAAACCAGCACAAGGCTCACAGCTGGGATCAAACCTTTGACCCGGGAATTTACGAATCGCGTTTGTAACACCTTAGCCACAGACACCGACAGTTACAGTGTATAAATCTGTTTATCATGACCAGTAAAGGCTAAGGGATGAAGTTCCTTCTCTTCACAGCCTAAAGCTTAAGCACTATTATAGAAACCATGTGGTGCCATTGCAGCATGGTATCTCCCTCAGATTGTGTTGTTTAAGTAACAACAACGTGTTGGGAACAAATCATGCTGCTGAAGTTGCTATATCAGAAGAACAGTGCTCTACCTCTCTGCCTCCCTCTTTGTTTGCTTCCTAGACCAGCTGCCAGTTAGGATGTAACAAAGTCATAATTCAGCATAAGTAAAAAAGTAAAGGACCCTTTTCCATGCCTTCATGCTTATTGGGCATATAGGGCTAGTACTATATTTTATAGACCAGTCAGTAATGGGTGGCTGATGTGGTCAACATCATGCGTCCATCTTTAGGTCCCAGCACTTGAACTGGTACCCATTTAAGGCTGGATCTACCTGGGAGCCAAGGTATTTTTTTCAAAAAAATGTCCGGTTCTGTTAGGACTCAAAAAAATGCTGCATAACAAATTCAAACTGTTTCTTGTTTTGTTTTTTTGGTTTTTTTTTTCAATTACCTTAATGAAGTGTTGGACGGATTTTTAAGGATTGCCTATATGCTCTTTCTGATGTACTTTTAATTGGTCTTTATTTCTCTAAGGTAGTTCCTGATGTCATAGTTCCACATCTTTCCTTTCCTCTCTGTTCATTAGTTACAGTCTGACAGTTTAATAATGAGACTGTTTTTTATGACCAAAACAGAAATGCCATCCATGAAGAAAAGTGTGTTGTCCAAACAGACAATATTCATCTATGATTTAGAAAATTGTAATGTCAACTGGTCAGTAAAAGACAAGTAACCTGCCATTTTGTTTAGCTAGCGAAATGTTGCATCATTCGCTTGTAGCGTGGAGCCAAGGTTCGACCTTAATTTGGTTTCAGTCTTGGAAAAGTGTTTTTGAGACAGTTGAATTGACGAGATGAGCTTACAAGGATCATTGTTCTTTAAATTCAACATCATATCCATCTGCCATCATCATCACAGTCAGACATCGTCATCATCATCATCAATTTCCAATTCTGCCACCAAGCGTTGTGGGGAGGAACAGTTTGTGATCCATTGCGTATCTGTTGTCTGACTTTGGCAATGAACTGATCGTTACAAACAAAAATAGGTCATCCAGGCCTAGCTTCATTTTCAGTCTTTTTCACATACTTTGAATCATGAATACCAGCTCTTACACAAATAAATAATGGTGTGTCTTATAATGGTTGATTTTTTTATGTCCTTCATTCCATCATCTTTATTAACTTTAGCTTTCGAAGTCACTATCTTCAAAGCTTAATAGGCATTTGCACATCCTATTATATATGGATTTTAGTACCAGTTCATTTGATTTTGCCATGCACATCGCTGGAGCTCATTAGTTGTACACATTAACTGTTTGGGATTTAGCTTATGCTAGTAGTGATGCCTTTGTAAAAGTTTAAAAAAAGTAAAGGTCCCTTTTCTATGCCTTTAGGCATATAGGGCTAGACCTATATTGGTGTAGACCAATCGGCACAGAATAGGTGATGTGATCAGCATCACGCGGGCCGCCTTTACTTGCCAGGACTGCATCCGGTGCCCACTCAAGGCTGGGTCATTTTTGAAAAAAAAAGTCAGGCTCCGCCAGGAGGTGAACCCACAACCTTCCGATCCGCACGCGAACGCCTAGCCGCTATGCCACGGCTGTTTCTTTTGTGGTTTTTGGTATTTCATTGGAGAAAAACTCATGCTAAATCCTCAGAGACCTTCTTCTGCTTCTGCTGTTTATCACCAGTGGAGCAACTTATATCAAGTCATTCTGTTCTTTGCTACAGCATACAGCTGACCCCATGTCCTCTCCCACTTTTGAACTCTACTATCTAGTTCCCTTTCACAGGTATGTGTGTGTGTTCATTGTTCATGTATGTGTGTGCGTGTGTGTTGGTCTGTCTTTATTTCTGTGACCAGGTGTAAAAACATTCTAGTTATATTGTCCTCAGGTTTTCTCAGTGTGTGTCCTATCCAGCACCACATTCATGTCTTCACCTCTTGATTCACTGGAATTTGTTTCTCAACTGAAACATTGGTGATAGTATCATACCATTTCATTTCTACTGTTCCGAGCAGGGACCAGTTAATAAATGTTTGTGCTCAGAGACCTAGTGTATATAAATTCTGTGTTATTTCTCTGTTTTATGCTAGTATGTTAACTCTTTCAGTCTCAGGAGGTTTTTTTTCAGAGGCCCAAGGGGTAGTAGCTTCTTATTTTGCCTTTCTAGCCTCCTATGGAGCATAGGCCCTCAACCAACTCACACAAAGTCATTCTATCCTTTGCTATTGCATGCAACTCTCCTCATCTTTCTAACTTCATTCTTCAGCTCCTTTCTCCCTTTTTTTTTTGCCTTTCTTTATTCCTATGCCCCTGTGGATTCCAGTGCAAAGACATTCTAGTAATATTGTTCTCTGGTTTTCTCTGTGTGTGTGTGCTATCCAGCGCCAGCGTCTTTTCTTCACCTCTTGGTTCACTTTGTTTAGTTCTCTCCCAAAGCTCTACATTAGTTATTCAATCATACCATTTAATTCCCTCTATTCTTCGCAGGCACTATGGGGTAGTATTAAATATGTATGATGTGTTCCTTGGGACTGAAAAGTTAAATATTGTTTTGTTTTTTTCCATTGTTAACATTGTTGTTTTCTACCAGGAGGAAACTTTACTGAATCTTACAGCCAAATTCTACTACATAGAGTACCCTGATGATCTTGGATATTACAACATGACACGTTTCATTGACTCCTTTATACCAGCAAGTAAGCTTTCAAAAAGACCAAATGATTATTTTCAAGTGAGTATAGCCAGTAGGTACTTTTATTTGCTTGACCAATTTTTATATTAAATATTATAAACGGCAGCTTTCAGAATAATTGAAGTACCAGAACGTTTAGCTTGACAGTTCCAGGTTAGCGACAGACTCAATGAACATGAACAACATGTGAGAGCCTATATGTCACATATGCAGCAACACATACCAAAAGTCTTCTTCTTCTTCTTTGCTGTAAACTCCAGCGGAAAGTTGTGGTTGTTTATTCACCTCTGGACTTTGGACTTGTTCCAGAACCTGAGTGTTACGTGCAATTCCATTTTATGTATCTGACTTTTGTATGCAGACTGTTGGTTCTTTGCCTCTTAGGCAGATGTACTCTGAATTCGAAATGAAACCCCCAATTAGTCTACTTTTATGACATGCTTGTTGTGGAAGCAGTGGGTCTCTTCTTGTTTTACCCACAATGGGGGTCTAGGAACCCACACGGGGAATACCAAGAGTCACTAACCAGGCTTTATAGTGTTATTGAGCTAAACACTAGATACAATGTTTGTCATTTAGTACTCATGGGCAATGCCTGATGACACATGGCTCATTGGTTGGGATTAAAAGAGTTAATTAATAGAGATTCAATTAACTTTTAAAGGAGGGGGCTAAGTTCCTAAGTAATTTAACTTGCTCTATGAAGGACGGGGGTCTCTGTGACCAAGTTGTAAAGTTATTTAGCTTGCTCTATGATGGAGGGAGGATCATTGTGACCAAGTTGTAAAGTAGTTTAACTTGCTCTATGATGGTCCGGAGTTAGTTAGTGGCTGTATCAGTGTAATTTTACACAAACCCCTGAGGCACATCACTGCAGCTAAAGGGTTCATGCTTTGTGTGATGCCTTTACTGGCAGCTAACAATTCAGTGTAGAGAGACTAAGTCTTATGGGATAAAACCCAGTGCAGTGACCACAGACACTATTAACTCTTATAGGAACATTTCTGAAGAAGTAGCAGTATCTCAGTATATGTCCTTAATCCTTTCCAGATCCTTGGACTAATGCCAAACAGGCCATATGTCCAACGCATTTTCCCCATGAGAAATAAAGGGAGATGAATAATCCTTCCCATGATAAAAATACAGTCCTATTGTTATTGACGTATTATACATTGATGGGGTGTATACAATAATTTAAACTCTGCTGACTACTAAAATACATAAATAACAAAGTTGAAAAGGTGACATTGTCTGGTCATAATGTTATTTTATTTTTTTATGAGTTAAAATCTACCTGAAAAGACTATTTCAGGATCCTCGCCAGTGCAACAGAGTTCATGCACTGCACTGAGATTCTTCATACTCAGGCTTGAGTTAGAAGTAGAATGGAGCACTGATAGGTTTACACCCATGTGCTATGTTGTTGATCTGTTGACTAAACTAAACTAAATGCTATTATGTATGGCTTATTTATTGTTTTCTTCTCTCCAAATGAGTTCCCTGGAACCCACATGAGGAACAGCATGTCTGGTCTGTCTAAACTGAGTATAGTGTGGACTCTTGGCATGTCTGGTCTGTCTAAACTGAGTATAGTGTGGACTCTTGGCATGTCTGGTCTGTCTAAACTGAGTACAGTGTGGACTCTTGGGATGTCTGGTCTGTCTAAACTGAGTATATTGTGGACTCTTGGCTTGCCTGGTCTGTCTAAACTGAGTATAGTGTGGACTCTTGGCATGCCTGGTCTGTCTAAACTGAGTATAGTGTGGACTCTTGGCATGTCTGGTCTGTCTAAACTAAGTACAGTGTGGACTCTTGGCATGTCTGGTCTGTCTAAACTGATTATAGTGTGGACTCTTGGCATGTCTGGTCTGTCTAAACTGAGTATAGTGTGGACTCTTGGCATGTCTGGTCTGTCTAAACTGAGTACAGTGTGGACTCTTGGCATGTCTGGTCTTTGTAAACTGAGTATAGTGTGGACTCTTGGCATGTCTGGTCTGTCTAAACTGAGTATAGTGTGGACTCTTGGCATGTCTGGTCTGTCTAAACTGAGTATATTGTGGACTCTTGGCATGTCTGGTCTGTCTAAACTGAGTATAGTGTGGACTCTTGGCATGTCTGGTCTGTCTAAACTGAGTATAGTGTGGACTCTTGGCATGTCTGGTCTGTCGAAACTGAGTATAGTGTGGACTCTTGGCATGTCTGGTCTGTCTAAACTGAGTATAGTGTGGACTCTTGGCATGTCTGGTCTGTCTAAACTGAGTATAGTGTGGACTCTTGGCATGTCTGGTCTGTCTAAACTGAGTATAGTGTGGACTCTTGGCATGTCTGGTCTGTCTAAACTGAGTATAGTGTGGACTCTTGGCATGTCTGGTCTGTCTAAACTGAGTACAGTGTGGACTCTTGGCATGTCTGGTCTGTCTAAACTGAGTACAGTGTGGACTCTTGGCATGTCTGGTCTGTCTAAACTGAGTACAGTGTGGGCTCTTGGCATGTCTGGTCTGTCTAAACTGAGCATAGTGTGGACTCTTGGCATGTCTGGTCTGTCTAAACTGAGTATAGTGTGGACTCTTATAATGTATGGTCTGTCTAAACTGAGTACAGTGTGGACTCTTGGCATGTCTGGTCTGTCTAAACTGAGTACAGTGTGGACTCTTGGCATGTCTGGTCTGTCTAAACTGAGTATATTGTGGACTCTTGGCATGTCTGGTCTGTCTAAACTGAGTATATTGTGGACTCTTGGTCTGTCTGGTCTGTCTAAACTGAGTATATTGTGGACTCTTGGCATGTCTGGTCTGTCTAAACTGAGTATATTGTGGACTCTTGGCATGTCTGGTCTGTCTAAACTGAGTATAGTGTGGACTCTTGGCATGTCTAGTCTGTCTAAACTGAGTATAGTGTGGACTCTTGGCATGTCTGGTCTGTCTAAACTGAGTATAGTGTGGACTCTTGGCATGTCTGGTCTGTCTAAACTGAGTATATTGTGGACTCTTGGCATGTCTGGTCTGTCTAAACTGAGTATAGTGTGGACTCTTGGCATGTCTGGTCTGTCTAAACTGAGTATATTGTGGACTCTTGGTATGTCTGGTCTGTCTAAACTGAGTATAGTGTGGACTCTTGGCATGTCTGTTCTGTCTAAACTGAGTATAGTGTGGACTCTTGGCATGTCTGGTCTGTCTAAACTGAGTATAGTGTGGACTCTTGGCATGTCTGGTCTGTCTAAACTGAGTATATTGTGGACTCTTGGCATGTCTGGTCTGTCTAAACTGAGTATAATGTGGACTCTTGGCATGTCTGGTCTGTCTAAACTGAGTATAGTGTGGATTCTTGGCATGTCTGGTCTGTCTAAACTGAGTATATTGTGGACTCTTGGTATGTCTGGTCTGTCTAAACTGAGTATAGTGTGGACTCTTGGCATGTCTGGTCTCTCTAAACTGAGTATAGTGTGGACTCTTGGCATGTCTAGTCTGTGTAAACTGAGTATTGTGTGGACTCTTGGCATGTCTGGTCTGTCTAAACTGAGTATATTGTGGACTCTTGGTATGTCTGATCTGTCTAAACTGAGTATAGTGTGGACTCTTGGCATGTCTGTTCTGTCTAAACTGAGTATAGTGTGGACTCTTGGCATGTCTGGTCTGTCTAAACTGAGTATAGTGTGGACTCTTGGCATGTCTGGTCTGTCTAAACTGAGTATAGTGTGGACTCTTGGCATGTCTGGTCTGTCTAAACTGAGTATATTGTGGACTCTTGGTATGTCTGGTCTGTCTAAACTGAGTATAGTGTGGACTCTTGGCATGTCTGGTCTGTCTAAACTGAGTATAGTGTGGACTCTTGGCATGTCTAGTCTGTGTAAACTGAGTATTGTGTGGACTCTTGGCATGTCTGGTCTGTCTAAACTGAGTATATTGTGGACTCTTGGTCTGTCTGGTCTGTCTAAACTGAGTATAGTGTGGACTCTTGGCATGTCTGTTCTGTCTAAACTGAGTATAGTGTGGACTCTTGGCATGTCTGGTCTGTCTAAACTGAGTATAGTGTGGACTCTTGGCATGTCTGGTCTGTCTAAACTGAGTATAGTGTGGACTCTTGGCATGTCTGGTCTGTCTAAACTGAGTATAGTGTGGACTCTTGGCATGTCTGGTCTGTCTAAACTGAGTATATTGTGTACTCTTGGCATGTCCGGTCTGTCTAAACTGAGAATAGTGTGGACTCTTGGCATGTCTAGTCTGTCTAAACTGAGTATAGTGTGGACTCTTGGCATGTCTGGTCTGTCTAAACTAAGTACAGTGTGGACTCTTGGCATGTCAGACTGTGATAGTTAGGATTTTGTGGGGCCATGGTTTTTTTCTAGGAGCATTCTTTGGCTAATACCATGTTATGTTTAATGTAATTTTGTTTGTTTCATTTTTAGATATAGTGTTTTTTTATGTATAGTGTCATTCATGATTAGTGTCATTGTTTGGATAATACCATTCTATTTTTGTGTGTTTTTCATAATTAGTATCATTTTTATTTTTGGTGTCATTTTATGTTCAGTATTATTTTATTTTCAATGTCATTTTTATGTTGCGTATTATTTTATGTTCAATTTCCATTTATGTTTAGTGTCATTTTATGTTTAGCTTAATTTTATGTTCAGTTTCATTTTATATTCTGTGTCATTTAATGTTTTATATCATTTTATGCTTAGTGTCATTTTATATTTAATGTAATTTTATGTTTAGTGTCACTTTATGTTAACTTTTGTGTCTAAAATAACGCACTATGCATGATTTGGTATTATTCACGGGAACTAATCAATAAGTTATGTATGCGTTTACATCTCATATTTAGTGAGGAACTCTGAAGAACTGTGAAAACATATTTGTTTCATGCAGTGTTTGTATATTAGCCCCTATGGAAGTACAATAACCTTGAGTTTAGTATTGCCATTTGTAACTTCCTCAGACGTTGCCTTGTGGGACTGAAAGAGATTAGTGCCGTTTAATATTTAGCATCAATTTCCAGTTAATTAATTTTTGTACCTAGATACCTAGCCTGTATTATTTTACTAGGGTACCTGCATAGTCCATGGCGACAGCACTAGGGTTGTAGCTCTAAATTCCTAGTCTCACGACACCACTTCCCCCATCTACACCACTCTAAATGTTGAATTAAGAATCGACATCATAGCACTCAGGATACTCCCATAAGTGCTCCGTCCCCATCTTCAGCAGTAAGCGAAGAGTTTCAATTCCGATGGCACCAGTAACATTATGATCTGATTGTCTGTCCCTCTCACCTTTCCCCTGAGTGTTCAGCATTGGCTCAGATCCCCTGATAACTCCCCGCAGCGCTTTTCTGCTCAGACCATAATGATCTGTTTGTGCCTCTGCACTGTTCACTAGCTCCCAAAGGGCCCTCACAACATCTAGCTTATCTACAACATCCTTAAAAAGTAGTCAATACAAGCACTGGCGACAGTTATATTTAGCATCAGTTTATGTTTAAAAGAAACTATGTAACATATAAATAAAACTAAGAAGATCTACATACATCTATAGGATAAAGTCCAGCATGCGTATGAAGATTTGAAACTTGGTACTGAGAAACCACCGATACACACCATCAAAACTGAGATTGTCAAGTTTGCCAAAGACACATTTTACATCCTCTTCTCTCGGTATTACGATGTGGCGAAGGTGATGGGGCCAAATCTGAATATTACAGAAGTGGTTGTTGGCGTCAACAATCAGGGCATTTATGTTGTGGATAATACGGATACTTTGAGACTGCAGGTGGAGTTTTCTGAGATTGTGGATATAACTAAAACCAAGTAAGTAAATACTATTATGAATAAAACCAAATCTATATGAGTAACTATTCTAATGTAGATATCAAAAATAAATTACTTATGTATTTCTTATGAAGATTAACTAAAAACGGGGAATAAACTATTTATTTTTTAGATAAAATTGAAATCATATAACTATTTCTGATGTAAATGTAACTAAATCGGTGAAAGTAACTATTTCTTTGTAGATATAACTAAAACTATGTAAGTAACTATCTCAGTTGTGAGTGTAACTAAACCGTATAACAGAATATTTCTATTGCAAATATTTTTTTTTAAAAACAGTGTCAGTATCTATTTGTGTTGTGAATATAACTGAAACCATGTAAGTTACTATTTCTATTGTAGTTGTAATTGAAATCATATAACTATTTCTACTGTGGATATCTGTAAAACTGTGTAAATATCCCTTTGTGATGTAAATTGTAATTAAACATGTGTGTAACTATTTCTATTTTAATTTAACTAAATACCTGTTACTACAGTCGAGTCTGGATAAATAGAAGTTGCAGGAACCTAAGAAAATGCTTCCACTTATCAGGATTTCTACTTATCCAGACAGCACAGGCAATAGAGAAAATTGCCGGGACTAAGCTGGTAATGTCGGCTTAACCAAAATTCGACTTATCCGAGTTCGACTGAAGTGGATGGACTTGACTGTATTTATATTGTATATAGCTAAATAAATTCTCTCTGTATTATTATTAATTTTTTTCATGTATGATTTAACAGTGCTAGCAGGTTTTCCTCATATCTTGATGTACTGGAATTTGTTTAGTGTATAACAAATAGTTTCCCAGAACAAGCTAATTACTACGTTACTGAATACATTCTGTAAGATTCTTAAAAAGATGGTGGCAGGCAAATTACAGGATTACTTTCAAAAACATACTCTTACCAAGAGTGTTAGGAAGTTCACAACAAAGAAAGGAAAACTGGAAAAATGCAGCGATCCTGGCTTTCCTCAGTGTTTGTGATCTTGTCTTGCACTGTCTTTAGGCATCGCATGAAAAGCCAGTTAACACTTTCTTCTGGTAAGAATAAGTCGACCAAGTTTCACTACCCTAAAGAAGAGTGCTGAGAACTTCTTCTTTACTTCATTCTTTACCACTTCAAGCAAAAGAGCAGGAATCCCTACTGTTTTCTCAATGCACAGACTTTGAAGATTTAGATAGCCAGGTCACACTTGGAGAATGGGGGATGACAGTATCTAAGAATATCCTCTATAGTGAATAACAGATGGGTGAAGAAGAAGAAGTAGAGGTCAACTTCTACTATTGTATAAATAGTGCAAGTGGGATATTATTGATACAGATATATTCTACTACTGTATAAATAGTGCAAGTGGGATATTATTGATACAAATATATTAACTACTACTACTGTATAAATAGTGCTAGTGGGATATTAATGATACAGATATATTCTTCTATTGTATAAATAGTGCAAGTGGGATATTAATGATACAGATATATTCTACTATTGTATAAATAGTGCAAGTGGGATATTAATGATACAGATATATTAACTTTTACTACTGTATAAATAGTGCAAGTGGGATATTAATGATACAGATATATTCTTCTATTGTATAAATAGTGCAAGTGGGATATTATTGATACAGATATATTCTACTATTGTATAAATAGTGCAAGTGGGATATTAATGATACAGATATATTCTACTATTGTATAAATAGTGAAAGTGGGATATTAATGATACAGATATATTCTACTATTGTATAAATAGTGCAAGTGGGATATTAATGATACAGATATATTCTACTATTGTATAAATAGTGCAAGTGGGATATTAGTGATACAGATGTATTCTACTATTGTATAAATAGTGCAAGTGGGATATTAATGATACAGATATATTCTACTATTGTATAAATAGTGCAAGTGGGATATTAATGATACAGATATATTAACTTCTAATACTGTATAAATAGTGCAAGTGCGATATTAATGATACAGATATATTAACTTCTACTATTGTATAAATAGTGCAAGTGGGATATTAATGATACAGATATATTCTACTATTGTATAAATAGTGAAAGTGGGATATTAATGATACAGATATATTCTACTATTGTATAAATAGTGCAAGTGGGATATTAATGATACAGATATATTCTACTATTGTATAAATAGTGCAAGTGGGATATTAATGATACAGATATATTAACTTCTACTACTGTATAAATAGTGCAAGTGGGATATTAATGATACAGATATATTCTACTATTGTATAAATAGTGCAAGTGGGATATTAAATATAAAGATATCTTAACTTCTACCACTGTATAAATAGTGCAAGTGGGATATTAATTATACAGATATATTAACTTCTGATTTGATTTGATTTTGATTTGATTCAAGAACCGACATCACAGCATTCAGGTCATTCCCATAAGCGCTCCGTCCCCATCTTCAGCAGCCAGTGAAGAGTTCCGATACTAATGGTGCCAGTAGCTTTCTGATTAAACGTCCGTCTTGCCATTCCTCTGCGCCTCGAGCATCTGCCAGAACCTCTCGTCACCCCCAACTGCATCAATCTCACCAGACTGTGGTGATCCATCTGCTCCTCCAAATTTTACATGCTCTCCCACAAGGCACTAACCACGTCTGCCCTATCATGTAGCAGTATTCCACCAAGTTGTGCAGAGCCAGCCAGTCTGTCTGCCTGTTCATTTCCCAACACACCGGCGTAACCCAGTGCAAAAATCCAGACAATACTCCTCACTAGTGTCCTCTTCAGCGAAGCATGCCACTCTGCACGAAGCATACCTGTTCTGATCTTCCTCAGTTTTTTTTATATATTGGTTACAATCACGATGTGTGTGTGTGTGTGTGTGTGTGTGTGTGTGTGTCATGTTCTCTAGTCAGCGGAAAGCTGCAATGACTGCCTCCACCTCCATTCTTAAGCTGGATGTTGTGGTATCGTATGCTAGGCTCTCAGGCACCAAACGTCGACCATTAACTTTTGCTAAGGAGCCCCAAGCACTTCTTTTGCCTCTTGACACTGAACCGTCTGTGTAAATTATCAAATCTTCTGAGCGAGCATTATCTTGAATTAATTGCTGAATTTCCACCTCCGTGGCACCTGCTGGCCAGTCTCTGCATTCCCGGCTCAGCGTGATTATGACTCTACACAAGTCTGACTGATCAGGTGGCACTTTGACCCACTCCTCTTCTTGCCTAATGTTCTCAAGGATGCAAACCTGTCTGATTGTGTCTTCTGCCTGAGCCATCCATGACCTCCCTCTTATCAGCCGCTGACCCTTAACTGCACCCAGAGCTTCATGCAGAGGGTGGTCTGTGTCTGCAGCACCTTGTGCCTACCTGCAACAGTCGGCAAACCAAGGATGTATCGCATACACACCACTGGGGTGTCTCTGGTGCAACCCAGAATTACCCGCATAGCAGTATTCTGTATGCGCACTAGTTTGTCCATCTGACTCTTTGAGACGGTAAGCAGTCCCAGGCCTTAATCCACCACTGACAGGATCAGGTGCTGATATAGTGAGAAAAGCTTTCTTTGCTCTATGTCAATTGCAGCCATAGTCTTAAGTGCACTAAGTCCTTTTTGGCATCTCGTCACAACACTCTCCACATGGTCCTTAAATGACAGGCTCCTGTCAAATGTAATTCCCAGATACTTCAGTTTGCTCTCTCTGTTGACGTTTCTACCATCTATCTTGAGACATTAGTTTTAACGATTCTGTTGTCCAGAGAACACCACAAAACAGGCGCCTTTTCCGGGTGGATGACAGCCCTTATTTCTGTACACCACTCAGTCATTTTGTCTACTGTCGCTTGTAGCTTCTGGGCTGTTTGTTCCCTCTCTTCCCCCCTGCCTATATGCAAGTATATCATCCGCAATATATATATTAACTTCTACTACTGTATAAATAGTGCAAGTGTGATATTTATGATACAGGTATGTTAACTTCTACTACTGTATAAATAGTGCAAGTGGGATATTAATGTTACAAATATATTAACTTCTACTACTGTATAAATAGTGCAAGTGGGATATTTATGATACAGATATGTTAACTTCTACTACTGTATAAATTTTGCAAGTGGGATATTTATGATACAGATATATTAACTTCTACTACTGTATAAATAGTGCAAGTGTGATATTTATGATACAGGTATGTTAACTTCTACTACTGTATAAATTGTGCAAGTGGGATATTTATGATACAGATATATTAACTTCTACTACTGTATAAATAGTGCAAGTGTGATATTTATGATACAGGTATGTTAACTTCTACTACTGTATAAATTGTGCAAGTGGGATATTAATGATACAGATATATTAACTTCTACTACTGTATAAATAGTGCAAGTGTGATATTTATGATACAGGTATGTTAACTTCTACTACTGTATAAATTGTGCAAGTGGGATATTAATGATACAGATATATTAACTTCTACTACTGTATAAATAGTGCAAGTGTGATATTAATGATACAGATATATTAAGGTGGTTTTTAATGGGGAGTGGATGCCATAGGCTGTGGTGCACAGAGAGGAAAATCAGTAAAAGGATATGAGTAAAGGAGAGAATGATCCAAGATAGATTAACAGCTGAGCATCAGAGAAGAATCACTTTAAAAACATGCTTTGGCAACAGTGGTCATGAAATCTTATTCTTAAATTCCAGAAGACTTCTTGTAATAAAGTCTTGCTAGTCCCCTTACCATCACATGGGCTTTGATTGCTATGTCTATTAAAAGCACAAAATAACATTATCAGTTGAAAAGATGGGAAGGGGCCAATGCTAAATAAAACAGGAAGTTTTAGTTTATCTAGAGACTAAAAGATATGCAAAGTTTTTGTAAAGTTTGTAAAGTATCCTTTAATGTCCCTATAACTCTTCATACTGAAAATCATAAAAAGTTGGAAGGTACATAAGTAAGAAGAAGACTACATATTAATTGAGAAAATGGTTCTTGTGTTCCAGACACCATCTGACACTGGGCATAGCCAATATGGATGACTTTGTGTTCAGTACCAACCATTCAGATGACTTCTATCACACAGTCAGCACAAACATTGATGAGCTGAAAAAGAGATCTACAGTTGCCATAGCCAAGGAGGATTTCACACATTTGGGTATGTACTGACATGGTGGCCTACATCGGCGATTCCCAGTTAACTAAGACCTGCTGATTCGTCTTATTTTTGAATGGTCTGCCACTGTCCCTAAACTTGTTAATAGTCGAACTAAGAATTTATTATAATTTATAAATATTAAAATTACATAAAACAACTGCAGTTCTCAAGTTGGGATTTTGTTGTTGTTGTGTAAATGTTATCATGGACCCCTTTAATTGTCTGCAGGCTCCCAATGGTGTCATCTGCTGATGACTAAATAAGAAAAACTAGCTTACCCAGCGTCTTGGACAGATAACTATTAGGGTACAATATTTTGAACCTTTCTGTGAAACATTGTGATATTACCAATGCTTGACACTGAAAGGAAAGGCAAGACAGATGTACAATCAGACGGTTACTGGTACATCAGAATTGGAACTGTTCTCTTGCTGCTGAAGATGGAGACAGAGCGCTTATGGGAGTGTCCTGTATGCTGTTGTGTTATTCTTAATTCAATATTCAACATTGTAATGTTGCAGTTAAGAAAATGGGGGGAGGGGGGAATTTCAGTTGATTAGTGATTGCAGTCACTTGTGTGAAAATTAAATTTGCTGCAATAAAATCTTTTCTCCAATACAACTTTCTCAGAAAATCACCTTGTTCATATTTTAGGTGTTTAATGGAATCAATGCTCAGCGCTCTTTCATTTAATATATACATACAACATTTAAAATCAGAAATGTAAGTTCCTTTACGTTTTATTGCTCAGTAAAACGCTTTCAAGGTGGACAGAAGAAACGTTTCATGGATGGCCTCAAGACCTCACTGAAAGACTTCTGTACTGATCCTAAAACCTGGGAAGTCGCTGCATGTGACCTCTCATCGTAGCACTCCTCCCTTCATCGAACTGCAGCAGCAATTCAGAAAAGACAAGCCAGGAAAGACACTGAAGCAAATCACCAGAGAGATGCGACTTCTATTCACTGTCCACATTCCTCAAGAACTATCAGTGCTAGAAGTGGCCTTATCTGCCATCTGCGCACTCACAAAACCTAACCCAGACACCAATGGATGAAAGGACTGGTCATCATCACTTGAAATGGATGAACAACACCCCTTTTGTTTCTATTTTTCACATTTTCATTTATTTGATCATTTGGATTCTGCTTAAAGTCCATGCCGTGAGGCATTTGTAGACATGTCCATCCACAACCTTCTGTCTCATGTACTTTCAGTAAACTCTAACACACATGATCCTCCATGCCATGATGTCAGACTGTCCAGCATCTTTTCGGTCAGTCTCTCTCTGCCTCTGTTCCCCTCCAACTTTTCTTCTGTCACAAATAACTCCAGTTTTCTCCTTCTCATCACATGACTAAAAAATGTAGATTGTCTCTTTCTGATGTGGGCAATCGGTTCTCTTTGTGAGTCAGTTTCTTTTTTTTTTTTTTTTTTAAATCTGTCCAGGGTATTCTCAAAATTCGTCCATAAAACCAAATTTCTGCAGCTTCCAAATATTTTCTTACTAACTTACTAACTGTCCAAGATTAACTGCCATATATCAAGATAGGTTTTATATAGCTTTTAAGAATTCTCTTTTTCATCTTAACAAAGAAATATTGCATACAATATTTTTCATATTATCATTTTATGTATCCTAGCCCATTCAACTAGTTTTTCTCCTCTCTCACTTCTTACTATCCATATGATAGTTTGTTTTTTGTCAGTGATAACGACATTTAGTTAAATCCATGAACATCTTTCCTTTTCCTTTTTTTTTTTTTGAGCTTCTTTGTCATAGTTTGTCTTATTTTTACTGAGTTGTTAGTAGTTTTCTTAGTTTGTTTGCTTGCCAAATTCAGACCATGTTTTGGTAAGTTTTCTTTTTCAGTCAGTATGATAGAAATGAAAAAGAACTGCTAAAAGAAAGAAAAACAGACAGGTGAAATTATTTCAGCCTTATTAAAGAACGTAACTCTTATAAAAACTATAGTAACGAGAAAAGTTGCTTGTGTTTCCTAAAGAAATCTGGCATCCTCAATGGTAATTTATGTCCTCTATTTCACACAGCATTAGTTTCTTTTCAAAGCTGTTTAACTGAATATTTTAGTGCAAAACCTCTTGGGACTAAAAGAGTTAAGAGCTTAGTAGAAATATTTTAGATATTCTATTGCTCCTCCGCAGACAGTGCAGCAGATGTTACCGTGCTGAAAGGAGATCTTCTGGAACTGAGCCAGTGTCTGGCAGATCTGGGCGACAATGACATGGTAACAGCTCTGTGTACACGGACAAAAAAGCCTTGTGACATTCCGGTGAAACTCTTGTATACCATAGCTACTGTGGACAAACCTTCAGATGCTTTAATAGTGAGTTCCTTGTATTGTAGTGTATCCAGTTTTTACTGTAAAGATGTTATTAATGTTTGTCTTGTATAGCGGCTGAGTATTTTTCTTACCTATTGATTCACTAGAATGTTGGTACTTTCCATAAAATATATACAGAAAAAAAAGTTATATTTTTACGAAACAAAACAATCAGTTAGAGAGATTCTGAAGAGACTAGGAATACAAAGAATGTTTTTAAAGGAAATAAAAAATATTTTAATGAAATATTTTCTCAATATACTAGGCCAAGACATAGTGGGATGAAGTGAAAGCTCTGCCCCACACTATGTTTTCCACGCTAGAAGAATCTTTTATGACTTTTTTTGTCAGGTTATGCCATCCTTAGAAGCATATTAAGTCATAGTATAGTGAAGTTAACTGACCAGGTTTCTTCCCTGAAGAATAGCTTGTACCCAATGTGCAAGTTTAGATCCATCCCCCAGAGGCATGCTAGTCAGAACAAAATTCTAACTATTATAAACTTGTCAAAAATCATTTACTGGATTTTCTTACTGACTCAGGAAGGATATCATTTGATGGCTTTTTTGACAAATATATTGTAAAACAATAAGACTGATACACTTCAGAAATTTCCTTTTTTTTTCCCATTCATTTAAGCACACCATGTTTAACTGCTTCATAGGAAGGAATCTCTTCTAAGGAAGCTTTGGTTAGAATTGCTGTTATTGCATTGGTTGCTTTCTTGAATGGCTTCTGAGCCATCCATGTCCATCTCTCGCTAGTACCTTTAATGCAGAGACAGGCTGCAAACATTCTTAATTTATATTGTGTGACACAGTGCCTACGCCACTGAGCTGACAGTTGTAACTTTAATGCAGACAGCACTCTGTAACTCAACACTCAACAGGATACTTAGTATAGGTGTCACGAGACCACCTCAGTGGTTCCAGAAGTTAGTACTCGTAATAAGTTCTTCTGGTTATTGATATTACTTTAAACCAAATTGATTTAAATGTCTCTAGTCCTTAGTCCAGACAAAGCGACCCAACCTTGGGTAATATTACCTAAAACTTTACACTGTAGCTAGGAATTCTATTCTCATGTGTCAGTGTCAAAATGTTATCTCCTGACCACAGACTGTAGAGGCCAGCGAACGGGGAACTTAGTATCACACCTGATATTAGCTTCCCTGAGCTGGACCGTAGGTCGTAAAGGTCACAGACTCAGACCTACCGTAGAAAAGTATTTTCTCACTGGTTGAGTCATGTTTGGCATTTGCTGGAAAGTTCCCAGCGCCCATGTGACAATCAGTCCATGAAGGAGACTACATTGTGTTAGACTCGGCCAGCTGGGAACAAGGTGGGGACGAGCAGGGACAGGAGAACTGGGAGGAAAAGGTGGAAGAACTTGACAGTACCCACAGCTGTCAGAGGTTCTATGATAATAAAGTTACGTCTCATGTTTTATGGATGTAAACTTATCACCACCATTATCCATTCACTCTAATCTTAGGTGCTCAGTTATCAAGCTGAAGCCTCTCAATACCACCATACCATCACTATCTATTATAACAATAATGATGACTAATGTCATACTCTGATTGCTAGGTTAATAAATCAAATATATGGTCTTATCCTGCATCAGTTTTTGTAATTCCAAATGTGTCTGTTCTTACACGTTTAACTAAACTGTTAAGATAGATTAACATTTGGTGGGGGCTCAATTAATATGATAATATTTCTTTAATTAGTCATAATAACACCGGGAGAAGGTAGAAGACGGAGGAATCATTTGCCCTGTCTAATAATTCATTAAATATAATGATAGACATCTAAAATTCCTTTCCTTCTCTTGTGGGTACCAAGTTCAGCTAATGTTAATGTACTTAACGAGCCAATATGGCTGTTTTCTTGGGTATCCAGGACTTTGAGAGCAACATAGCTCAGATTTTAGTTCGGTTAATCTGGTGGAGAGAATGTGTTGAGAGGAACATCCCTACTCAACATTATAAACATTTAATCCACCGCGTCACGTCACAATAGGGATGTGACCTACAGTGCTAACTTGTTATTCTATACATTAAAGAGAGTTTGTTTATATATTTGACATGTGTGCTATTACACAGCCCACCATACAACAGCTCTAACTTGCTACAGGTGCGGTCTAAGAGAATATATATCCATCTTCTCATAAAAGTCCAACTCTCACCCTCTTGTTTCATCTAGTTATACTTTTCCTTTTCTGGGAGGGGGGGGGGGGGGATTCCAGTCAATATGGTGTATAGGCATGTTTACTGATTTTAGTCATGGATAAGTGTTTGCATCTGAGTTAACTGTTATCCTCCGTATGTAGACTGAAGGGGTATAGTTCTGTCACCAAGCTACTGCGTTGAGATCATGGTAAGACACTGTTAGCTGTGGATTTTATTTGGAATACTTTTCGACTTGCCCTGTATGGTTTGTGTTGTGACCTGCAGATTCAGAAAATGGCAAGTGGTCTGTTGCCTGAGAACTTGTGGTGCTTTATACAGTTAGTTGCATCTGCAACCACTGATCTGTTGTAGCTGCTGCTTCAATCCACTGCATTTCTAGTGTTGGACTGTTCATGTTGGCACTGACTGCTGCCTTGAGCATTTAATGCATGTGTATGCTGTTAGATTTGCTAAGACTCTTAGTCAATTTTTTCTACAAGAGACAGTGATGGACATTCTGTGTGGTTTTTGTTGGTACATGAATGGAGCAACTATTTGGTCACATTTTTACTATTGGGCAGTCTATTATTGTTCTAACTTATTCTATGTCGTCACACTGTTATTTAGTCACATTTGACCTCTTTCATAATCTACCTATGTCTTTTACTCAAACACATAGAGTGTAGGTCTGTGACAAAACTAAACCAAAGATCACTCTGTGGGTAAGCAGATACACTAACATAAGTTACAACAGCTCATGTATCTTTTTGATGAGGCCAATATATTCAGGAAAGACTGGCCACTTAGACTGTCTGACCACATGTCTGAGATCTGATGATAAACAGCAGAACATCTAACTGACCAATAATAACCTGCGTGACTTTTTTATGGACCATGTTTCATGGGGGGGAAAAGGGGGGGGGGGGGATGAGGGGGACTATGGATAAAGAAGGAAAAAAATTGTTGATTGGTGGAAAGCTGACAATCTGAGATAAATGGCAACAAAGGTGCTGATGTTCTGATTGTGGACGATTTTTCTCAATGGAAGTGGGTCTTGCTAGTCAGACTTTCCATTTCCATGTGCTGTTGTTCCCATTGAGAAGTAGGGTAAAGTGCCAAGGAATAGGTGGCAAGCATGTTGCCAAGTGTTAATGGATTTAGAAACAAAATTCAAGGTTAATATTTCTTCAAACAAAATACAAGGTTAAAGTTTCTATAAACAGAGTATGAGGTTAAAGTTTCAATAAACAAAATACAAGGTTAATGTTTCTATAAACAGAATATGAGGTTAATGTTTCTATGAACAGAATAAAGGGTTAAAGTTTCTATAAACAAAATACAAGGTTAATGTTTCTATAAACAGAATATGAGATTAATGTTTTCTATAAACAGAATACGAGGTTAATGTTTTCTATAAACAAAATACAAGGTTAATGTTTCTATAAACAAAATACAAGGTTAATGTTTCTATAAACTGAATAAAAGGTTAATGTTTTCTATAAAAATACATGGGTAATGTTTCTATAAACAAAATACAAAGTTAATGTTTCTATAAACAAAATACAAGTCTATCATAGACATCCATTGTGCCAATCGCATGATAAGAATCCTTTTATAGTTACTTGTGATTTTTATTCCACCTTATTACTTGCATATTTGTTATTATTTTTTAACAGGAGAGACTGACCATCCAGATTTGTAAGAATGCAGTAGGTTTCATATCTAGTGATAAAACTCAACAGTACAGCTTGCAGGGCTATGCTAAAACTCGTTTCAGGTGAGGAGATAGTGAATTTACATTATTCATCTCATCATCAGTTAGCAAGTCCTTTACAGAACCTCACTCTCTTCATAGCACACCTAAAAAGTATCCCTCTCCCCAGCCAGCTCTCTGGCCCAATGTGCTTTCGATGCCAATTATTCATCTATTCAGAGTTATTAAGTCATGTGAAATCTGTTTACCGTGTTAGGTCAGGATATTAGTCACATCTGAATTTGTCGTTGACAGGATAAATCTGTTTACAAAGTAAAGTCAGAAAAATAAATTAAATCTGTATACAGGAAGTAAAGTGATGATGTTAGTGAAATCTGTATGCATGAAGTCATGTCAGGATATTAGTAAAATCTGAATATACCAAGTAAAATCGGGATATTTGTGAAATCTGTATACAAAGTAAATTCAGGAGAAGAGTGAAATCTGAATTCAAAGTAAAGATACTAGTAGCACTTCTTATGAATTGTATTATTGTGATTATCACACAGTCATAAATTAGATACTCAACTAAATTAAAATGTATGATTATATATTTACATTTTGGGGTTCTTTTATAGAGTAGTTTAATAATTCTCACATGGCAGGTTTGATTCAGTTGCATGTAAATTGGCAGCAGACCACTTTACTTTAATTTAGACAATGGTATGAGCATCAATCGTTAAGGGAGCAGTAGCAAACAACAGTACAGTGAAACCTCAGGATGTGAATTTCATCCTTTGTCTGAGCTTGTATGGTGAATAACTTGTACCTGGAAACTATTTTTTCCATTAAAAGTAATGTGAATGATTTTGATTTGTTCCAGCTTTCTATAAATCAAAAACAAAATGACGTTTTACATTTCATTAAAAGGGGGGGGGGGGGGGGGGGAATGTGTGGTCCTGTTCTTTATTTTTGGTTATGCTGGTGACTGAAAATAGGGTTCCTTCTGACCATGATGCTGCATTCCATCCTCATCAAGTGCCTTGTCAACTGGCTCAAGTCCTTCTTCGACAATGTTAACATGAACTAATCCATTTGAAAGTTAATGAGATGCTGACACGTAAGCCGGGTTTTCTTATTTTTTCAGCTGACATCCTGAATTGTGCATCCTGTTCTGAGTTAATAAAAAGTTGCGAACCTGACCTCATATCCTGAAAAATTGTATCCACGTACACTTATATCCTGAGGTTCCATTCTGTGTAAAGTTGTCTTTAAAACCATAAACAGCCAACTGGGGTTTGGTTGTCAGGACCTAAAAAATAATATGCAACTAACTTGCCAGAACGGAAGGGACAAGAACTATGGTAGAGTGTTGAGTTGAAGTGTTGAGTTGAGTGTTGAATTGAGTGTGGAATTGAGTGTGGAATTGAGTGTTGAATTGAGTGTTGAATTGAGTTGGAATTGAGTGTTGAGTTGAAGTGTTGAGTTGAGTGTGGAATTGAGTGTGGAATTGAGTGTTGAATTGAGTGTTGAGTTGAAGTGTTGAGTTGAGTGTTGAATTGAGTGTGGAATTGAGTGTTGAATTGAGTGTTGAGTTGAGTGTTGAATTGAGTGTGGAATTGAGTGTTGAGTTGAAGTGTTGAGTTGAGTGTTGAATTGAGTGTGGAATTGAGTGTTGAATTGAGTGTTGAGTTGAGTGTTGAATTGAGTGTTGAGTTGAGTGTTGAATTGAGTGTTGAGTTGAGTGTTGAATTGAGTGTTGAGTTGAGTGTTGAATTGAGTGTTGAATTGAGTGTGGAATTGAGTGTTGAGATGAGTTTTGAGTTGAGTTGTGTGTTGAGTTAGGAACTAACATCATAAAAGTGTGGACATTACTATAAGCACTCCAAAGTGGGTCTGTTCTTTTTCCCCTAATATGCAGCCCCAGAACCCACATAGAGACAAGGTAAATAGACCCAATCTTACTGTTAGGTCTTTCGATCTCAGTTTCCACTTTAACGTGGTTTGTCCTAAATGTTTGTGTTCTTTACAGTAGCAACTTTTTTTTCATTTTCATTGGGTTGAAATAATACAACTGTGGCACACAGTGAGTTAAAATAAATACCTAGCTAAACTGGATTAGAAATTGTTCTTTTAAATGATGAGTTGGAAGAAACTCAATGTATATCAGGTGTAGAATATTTTTTCTTCATCCTCCTGCAGTCATCAAAGTGGGGAAAAAGATGGGTTGAGGTGGATGGGTCTTCTGTATGCTGTAAGCCAGTCTTCATTTCTTTGAGGCTATTCTTGATGCCATCCTTCCATCTATAGTGTGGTTTTCCCATTTACTCCAGGTTCATAACATTTTTTCAGTGGTGCTGTTGGTGCTAGGGCATTCTCATCAAGTTGCCAAACCATTGAATCTATAGCTCTTTAAGGAATATGTAGAATATTTAATACACATGTTGTGAGTTCTCTGTTACTAAAGAGTTCTCCTCTGTTTTTGTATTCACTTTTAAATGGGCAATTTAAAGTTTGTCTTGTACAGCTAGGCTGGGACATTTGCATCTGTTGGCTCAGCAGATCAAATTTCAACAATGCTATTTAGATGCCTTTTACAACAAGCTTGTTGGGGTGGAATGGGTGACAGGGGTTCTGTTCCCGGCTCCCACAATGGAACTCTGGAATACACACGCAGGCTACTTAAGAGTAACACATATAATTTGTGTCTTAGATGTTTGCCAGGTACACACTTTATTTAAAGAGTTATGCTTCTATAATTTTCTTCCACCATAGACTAAACAGCGAAAGTGTTATGACCAAGATTTTCACGAAAGCCTCCATGAAGCGGAAGGATGTGGATAACCTGTGGAGTTGGAGCAAGGATACCTTGAAGAAGCCACTTCTAAAGAGAACTTACAACAGAGATGATGTCAAAAAGCTAGCCCTCCATGCCTTTAGCTATATCCTTTTGCTAAAAAACCATCATCATGTGTCACTTCTTTTTAGCTCTATTCAAACAGTTTTCATTATGGTTTGTTTTAAATCTGGTATTTGGCTGTATCATACAGATTTCTGTTAGTAGCAAGCTTCTTGTAGTCCATGCCAAACACAGGACACAGAATCTGGTGAGGAATGAGTACAAGAAGCAATAGAGTGCTGTACGAATTTTTCTGTTTGCATCCGTTCTAGACACACACAGAAAGCAGACAAGGAAGACCGACTACTGTGGAAGTGGAAGTGCCGGCTGTGATTTTTGAGAATTTTTTTTGCGGGGGGAGGGGGAGGGGGGGGGGGAGTAAAGAGATTGTCATTTACACAGATGGTGGGTCTGTGGTTTACCATGTGAGATGCTTGTGTGCTTTTTTAAGTCCCAGGTTGAAACTGGAATTCTGAAGCAATATTCTAGTGCTGTTGCCTTGACTATAAGTATTGACTATGAAAGTCATGGCAATGACCAAACCCAATAACATGGCTGGAGACACAGACCTTAATCCACGCCTGTTTTCTCAGTGACTTAGTAAGTAGGCTCAGGAAGATAGAGATGGGCTAGGTCCGAAGCAAGTAGTTAGAGTCTATGAGGCAGTTGGTGCTGACAAAAGTCAGTTTCATTATTGTGCCAGGATACGCAGGTGTGCAAGGAAATGAGCAAGCTGATCGGCTTGCAGGTAAAGCTACTGTGGTGGGTGGATGAGCCATGGACCAGGCTGCTGAACACTACAAGAAGTAAGACATTTGTGAGAAACAAGTGATGGCTGTTAATCTGCAACTATGACCAGACTGCAAGAATGGCATGTTAAAAGAGGTGTGGACAGACAAGAGCACTATGCAGAAAGCCAAAGAAGAATTTTAACCATCACAGGATTGGTGTCGTCAGCCGCTACTCGCTTCAGGATTTGCTAAGGAGGGAATCTGGGCACTTTAAGACTATGAGGATAATCTGTTGCCTCACTAATTAACTAACATGCAAAACAGCATTGGTCATCATCTCTGTCCACAGAGTTTATACTGACCATATCACCTTTAAAGTGCCAGATTGTCTATTACAAAAATTGTGCATAGTTGCTGATATGCCTGTTTCACTCCATAGTATGAAAGGGGTCCTTTGCCAATTTTTGAAACAAAATGTGATGATTTTGCTGTATTCATAGTTTATGCTGTGGCATGTATATATTTGCTCAGCACAGTAAACACAATTCATAGTTTACATGTGATATGTATATATTTGTTCAATGCAGGAAACAAGATTCATAATTTGCCTTAACATATGTTTACCAATTCAAAAATACATGAGCAGTCATGTCCTTAATGACGACTCCGCCAACTACAGCCTCTGTACTCAGTGGATACTCAGTCCTGCTCAAAGAAATGTAAGTTTTTTTTTTTTTAGCTTTTAAATAAGTTAGAAATCTGGTAAATTGGGTAGGAATGGCTAGGCATTTTGTTAATTATAATAAATGTTCTTTTTTTTTTGAGTGTTCTCATATTGATGCAATCAAAGTGCTTGAGGAAAGAAAAATTAAAAACAGTGTAACTGTTTTCTTTTGTGCCGGTATGTCAGTCCTCCAGGCGACTTAGAGGTATCCATGAGACAATAGGGAGAGAGAACTGACCCGCCAACTTAACTCTTTGAGTCCCAAGGAACGCATCATACGTTCATAGATTCCTACCTAGAGGCCCAATGAACGCATGATGTGCCGATTTTACATCTCTTTTGACTACCTCTTGGGCCTGTGATGCTAAACCCCCTGGGACTCAAAGAGTTAACAGACTCTTAGAAAGCAATCAAATCCTTCTCCAGAAGATACAGACTCACCAGGAAATGAATTAGCAGATAAACTTGCAAACAATGGAACAAAACAGGAACAACACACCCGTTCATTGTCATTACCAGAAATCGAAACACTTATTAAGGAAAAATACATGGAATTGTGAAGAGGACAAACCAACAGTAAACATCCACAAGACTACATCAGCAGACTCAAAAGAAAGCAACATACAACAATTTTCCATTTACGAACATGATACTGCAGGCTCAACTATCACATACATAAAATAAAGAATGTACAGTCCCTGCAGCGTGCCTGCTAGACATAACCACAAACACCTGAGCACATTCAACAGACCTACCCACTCTACCTGCAACTTCAAAAAAGACACCTGGCCTCAAGAGCAAAGTCTGCAGAGGAAGCTATAGGGTACCATGAAGGACCTGCTACTGACATGTGTTTATAGAGGCAACCCACCTGATGGTCTGATCTGAGCATACAAAACCCAACGCAAAGAAGAAGAAGCAGAGTGTTCTCACACTGAATGTCATCAAGGCAGTTTGTCTAGAAAAAATGTGTGGCTACTTACCATAAAGTGTCTAAAAAGATGCCTGTACTCTCCATAATTGGAGTCGCAGTGACATTAGTGGCTATAATTCTGCCTGCGGATTGGAAGGTCATGGGTTTGCGTCCTGACAGAACCAGATATTTTTTAAAAACGACCGTGGCTCCCAGGTCGACACAGCTTTGAGTAGGTACCAGGTGCAGTCCTGGGAAGTTAAGGCATCAGCCATGCTAACCACATCACCGACCAAGTGCTCATTGGTCTATACAAATATAGATCTAAACCTATATTCCCAATACGCCTCAAGGCGTGGAAAAGGGTGATTTCCGATACTTACCACAGTGTGTGTTAAAATAATACTGAAACAATGATGCCTAAGAAAAGGTGCCGTCACTGCATCACCTTGCATACCACCAGAGAAAAAAGCCCAGATTGGTATTACAATGATGTTGGCTGTCAGATTTTCTCATTCCATAGTAGACAACTGACCATATTTTTCTATTATCTTCTATTGTAGGTATTCCTGAGTTATTTTCATTCTGTGCAAAAGGCTTAATCACTCGGCTATGGATTCCTTAAGACTTGCTCATTAAAATTAATTATTTCTTAGGGACTAAAATACTTTCATCATCATCATCAATCTTCAGATTATTTGAGACTGGGTTCAGCAGGCAAGTGGGGACAGGTACACTGCCAGTTATTTTAAAAACAAATGGACCATAACGTGGTTTTGACCCCAAGGTCTTTGAACCAGCAGGCAAACCTCTTGCCACTCCATTACTACAGCTCACCAGTTTTTATAGTAATTTAATTATAGTCCCAGGTCAGCCCAGCCTTAAATGGGTACCAGAAAAGTCCTGGAAAATAACGGTGGCCAGCATGATTTTACCACAGCACCCACTGAGTGTCCTTTAGTCTATGAAAGATAGGTCTAGCCCTGTATGCCTAATAGCATGGGAAAAGGATCCTTTCCTTGATTATGAATGTCGTGACCACAAACTCTTTAACATATTTCAACCCTGTCTTGAATATTTGCTGTTGCAGAAATACTTGAGGGAGGAAATCTATTGCCAGATTGTCAAACAACTCACCAATAATCCTGATAAGTAAGTGAAATATTTTTTTTTTTCACATCTAGAGACACATTGGGTATGTAATTAACAAACAAAAAGTGTGCTGTTTCCACTTAGGAGATTCTACTTCTTAAAGTCCATGCCGTGTGGCATTGGTAGTCATGTCTATCCACAATTTTCTGTCTCGTGTATTTTCAGCCAACTCTGACACAGATGATATTCCATGCATTGATCTCAAACTGTCTAACATTTTTTTTCTCTTGGTCTCCCTCTGCCTCTTCTCCACTCCAGCTTTCCTACTGTCACAATGTACTCCAGTTTTCTCCTTCTCTTCACATGACCAAAGAATGTAGACTGTCTCTTTCTGATGTGGGCAATCAGTTCTCTTCATGAGTCAGTTTCTTTCAAGACATCTTTATTACTTTCTTTAGAGATAAGCTGCAGTGTATGTGCACCTCTCTTGTCTTTGAGAATATTAAGTAGGTAGGCCCCAGTCTATTCTACAGGGATTATACCACTGTCTTCCTGTATGGGTTCCTGGGCCCCAGTCTGTTCCATAGTAACTTGAAGCACTGTCTCCCTATATGGGTTCCTGGGCCCCCTTTTGTTCTACAGTGACTTGTACTGCCATCTCCCTGTATGGGTTCCTGGGCCCCAGTCTGTTCTACAGTGACTTGTACTGCCATCTCCCTGTATGGGTTCCTGGGACCCAGTCTGTTCTACAGTGACTTGTACTGCCATCTCCCTGTATGTGTACCTGGGCCCCAGTCTGTTCTAAAGTGGCTTGTACCACCGTCTCCCTGTATGTGTTCCTGGGCCCAAGTCTGTTTTACAGTGACTTGTTCCACCATCTCCCTATATGTGTACCTGGGCCCCAGTCTGTTCTACAGTGATTTGTACTGCCATCTCCCTGTATGTGTACCTGGGCCCCAGTCTGTTCTACAGTGACTTGTTCCACCATCTCCCTGTATGTGTACCTGGGCCCCAGTCTGTTCTACAGTGACTTGTTCCACCATCTCCCTGTATGTGTACCTGGGCCCCAGTCTGTTCTACAGTGACTTGTACTGCCATCTGCCTGTATTAGTTCCTGGGCACTAGTCTGTTCTACAGTGACTTGTATCATCGTCTCCCTGCAAATATCGGCCATAAATGTTGCATATTATTGCATTCGCAAAACATGCTCAGGAAGGTTGTCAGGTTTTCTTCATATGAAATGAGTCACATTAATCCAGAAGTCACAGATAATGAGAGTCACACAGATAGTTTGCCTGAGCCATGTAAGGCATCTTTGGAAGTGAGCAGGCAGATAGGCTGGCTGGACTGGCTCCACATGGGGGTGTACTGTGACTGCAAAAGGCAGAGGGGGTATCTTGCCTAAGGGGCAAGGTAATAGGTCTCATCGTCTCATCTTCTCTTCCACCTTGTACCTCATCGAAGTGTCGGGGGAAGATGTAACATTCGTTGATGAGCACTATTAAGACTGATGTTCATTTCTTTAAGGCTGTTCTTAATGCCATACCTTCTAGGTATTCCACTTGCTCTACACTAGTTGTAACGTTTTAGTGTGGCTCGCTGTGGCAGATAGTACCAGGGCATTCTTGTTAGGTGTCCAAACCACTTCATTTGTTGTTCTTGGATGATCCGTAAGACTGGCTTTATTACTAGCATTTGTCTGATTTTGTGATTTCGTATTCTGTCTTTCCTTGAAACTCCTGAATCTCTTCTAAGGATTTTGATCTCTGTTTTCACAATTTTATGTTCAGTGGAGGATGTAAGTGTCCATGTTTGGCACTGATTATAATAATCGGTAATCAGTAAAAATGGCAATATTGAAAACGTGTACCTGGAGAGAATGATGCAGTGGAGAGTCAATGTGGGCTCCAGGCATCACTTGAGACTTGGGGGAAGGCCAGACAAGTAGTTAACCAGATGACAACAGGTACCGTCAATATGGAGACTCCCCAATGGTTGTTGAGAAGAGTGACTGAGCTAATATCACCTTGTTTTGAATACTGTAATGCATAATCTTTACCCACATGCGTCTGCTATGGCTATTTGTATCTTTCAGTGCTCTTGATTTTGGTCAGTGCTCTTTGTGTTTATCATTGATTTTTGTGTTTATTTGTGCTCCTTATGTCTATCAGTGCTCTTTGTTCTATTTTTACTCTTTGTGTCTATCATTGATTTTTATGTTTATTTGTGCTCCTTATATCTATCAGTGCTCTTTGTTCTATCTTTACTCTTTGTGTCTATCATTATTTTTGTGTTTGTGCTCCTTATATCTATCAGTGCTCTTTGTTCTATCTTTACTCTTTGTGTCTATCATTATTTTTGTGTTTATTTGTGCTCCTTATGTCTATCAGTGCTCTTTGTTCTATCTTTACTCTTAGTGTCTATCATTATTTTTGTGTTTATTTATGCTCCTTATGTCTATCAGTACTCTTTGTTCTATCTGTACTGTTTGCACCTATCAGGACAAGTGCTGACCGAGGTTGGTGCTTGCTGACCATGTTAAGCTCACTGACCCCACCTAGCAGCGAGTTGATTGACCACATCTTACTCTTTGTAAAAGGGTCATCTCACCCAATGGCCAGCCACTGTGAGACAAATATCAAGATGAAAAGAAGGTGTGTATGAATGTTTCTATTGCTACTGCAGTTGTTGTTTCTTGATTTCTGATTTTCTGTTAGAAACATCATGGTAGAAAGGGGCTGTTATTGAATTTTGATGTTATACATCACAGGAAATCAATAACTGTGGAAATGAGATGTTTGAGAATGGCTCAAGAGTGGCAAGATGAGATACAGTGAGGAATGAAGTCATAAGAAAACAAAATTGTGCATAGAAATATACTAAATTACAAATAAGTATAAGACAAGCAAATCAAATGGCTTGCCCACTTAGAGGAAATGACTGGCAAGACTATACCATCAAGGGCATATACCAAAAGAGGAGAGGGATGTATAGTCCAAGGTAGACAAAGAACAGTATGGAAAGATAACATCATATAAACTTTAAAACTGTGAAGTGTCTGGTTGAGATGGCCATAATAGCAGGAATAGAACCTTGTATCTCCCTCAACATCAGTAAAAGAGGAAGGAAAGAAATAGAAGATAATATCACAGGAGAGAGTTGTTATGGATAGCTTCTCACTTTGTACTGCCAGCACCAGAGCAGAGAGTTGCTATTGTTGACTTTTAGTATTTTTTTCTAAAATGGCGTTTCTATTGTTAGTTTTCGATTTTGTACTGACATCATGACAGAAAAGAGTGCTACTTTTATTTTGCGGTATTGAACATCACAGTGAAGAGTTGCTATTGTGACATTCCAGTTTAAATTCTCCAGCATGAAGGCAAGAGTAACTGTCATCGAATTTTGGTGTTGTACATTACAGGAAAGATTTGTTACTGTTGGCTTTAAGTGTTTTGTACATTTTTACAAAATCCCCTAAATTTTTTTGTAAAAAGCAAGATCACATGATGGAGGATAAGAGAAAATGTACAATAGCAAAGAAGCAATACTGCATAAGAGAGACAAGTGTCACAGAGGTGAAACAGCACTGCAACAACATACACAAAGTAACCATCAATGTAGATAATATCCTTGGTATTCTGACCGTTATCATTCATAATAAATTTGTGTCATTAACCTGATTGGCCTAGCTAGCTGGCTGGAGATTATTTTACTGTTCAATGAGACATGATGACCTAGGTCATAGGTTTGTGTCCTTAACTTATGACTGGCCTAGCAAGTTGGCAGGGGATTATTTTACTGTTCAAAGAGACATGATGACCTAGGTCATAGGTTTGTGTCCTTAACCGATGACTGGCCTAGCAAGTTGGCAGGGGATTATTTTACTGTTCAAAGAGACATGATGACCTAGGTCATAGGTTTGTGTCCTTAACCGATGACTGGCCTAGCAAGTTGGCAGGGGATTGTTTTACTGTTCAAAGAAACATGATGACGTAGGGCTGGATTGACTAAATGGAAAAGGGAGTGTACTAAAATTATTCTTTTATACTATGGATTTGGGATCTGCTGCAGTACAGTGACTAGAGATTATTTTTTTTACCCTAAATGACTAAGGCTTTCATATTAACTCAGTGTAAAATAGAACAGCAAAGCTGGTCTGCCTAAGGTTGACCACACCACCCACTGAATGTCAAATGGTCTATTACAAAATATGTCTAGCACTGTATCTCTGCGGCGTCCGTGGCTAAGGCCTTGCGAGTCCGACTCGTAATCCAACGTACCGCGATCGAAACCCACTGCGGGCTGCGTGGATTTTTATCGTGGTATGGGACGTTGCAGGTCGACCCAGCCTCAAATGGGTACCAGGATGGCTGTCCTGGGGAAGTGAAGATGGCCGGCATAATGCTGACCACATTACCCACCGAGTGCCGATTGGTCTGTAAAAAATATGGGACGCTCTGCCCATATGCCCAATGCGCCGAAAGGCGTGAAAAGGGATCTTTACTTTTTTTTTTTTTTTTTTTTTTATTGTATCTCTGCTTCACCATTGATGGGGACAGGTTTTATTTACTATGGACAACATGACATGACAAAACAGGATGTAGGAAGGGTTATTGACCTATCATTAACATGCTCAGTGAGTTAAATGCCGCAAGAAATAAATTATATATAAGGATTTCAACTTAATAAGTTAAGTTAAGTAAAGGTAAATATGCATCATTTGGAAAATATCAGTTGGTATCTCAGAGTGGCTTGCATTACATGTTAAAAGTCAGATAAGAAACATATTGTGGATTTTTTTGGCCCAGCATATCCTGCTGTGTGTGGTAATGAGCAGACAGATAGATTAGCTGATCCAGCCCTTCTTGGTGGAGGGCTACTTCATCATAAAGTTGACAGGGTGAAGACTGTCTGGGTTGTAATAAACAGTGTAACAGAGCAGTCACAGCATCCATGTTTCACCAGAATGACTCAGTTTAGAACAGGCTAAGGGCCTGGACGATTTTCTAAGCACAGAGAATTTTTATTCAGGTGGCAACTGGAATCATCGAATGGGAACTCTTCATTGGCTACTGAGGAAGGGGACAGAACACATGTGGGAATGTCCACGTGCAGTAATGTCATATATATGTATCCATTCATTCATTCACTTAAAGAAAATAATACAAATCAGTGAACAGTGTCACCTCATCTTGTAACTTGGAAGTGATCTTGATAAAAGCATTAACAAGTAGTCCTCCACCACTTGCTTCCCTCAGCATCAAGCACAAGTGTGGACATACTGCACCATTTTCTGTGCAGATCAGATGTTTGAGAAGGGCTACTCGAGTAACCATAACAGATAATATCAGGAATGATTTGATTAAGAAAAACTCAACAAAGAATAAATTCTAATGACATACAATAAGATATATTGTCTACCTAGATAGAATGCCTTGCGACGCCGTCCCATATAAGGCTGCAATATGTCATGTTCCACTTGTAATAATTGTGGTCTGACATTTGGCTGGTTCTCTAGGGGATGACGTGTCTACTGGGTGATATTACTCACATTCTAAGATGACATAGCCGTGTCCAAGATACATGACAGTTTTATTGACATCTAAACACATGTCCTAAAAAACAGCTTTCAAGCAACACATTGTTCAGACGCCAACACACTGACTCCTCACACATTCACCAACCAGAGTTCTGCGTCTTCAGTTCCACATCGCCGCATAGATGGATATGGTCATTGCATCGAGTTTCACACCCCTGACTTGGCTGGACTTTACTTCGATAGATGTTGTCGTCTGGTCTTCATCTTGCAGCAATCCTCATTCACACTCGATCACTCTCATGTCCTCTCCTTCTGAAAGACAACACATACTGTCTGATCCGACTGGGGTCTGACGTATACCCAGTGTTCGTTCCACGTGGCAATACGTGGTCATTCTTGGGTTCCACGTGGCGACTTGTGGTCGTTCTCCTTGGTCATAACACTCCATGATAACACTTGGTCATCCCTACCTTGAAAACCTCAGTTAATCCGAGTATCTAGCTTCTCTCGGTGTTATGGTTAACCTGGGGCTTTCCTCCCAACCTTCCTTGTCAGGGTGAAAAAAATCTCCCATTACAAAGGCATACACTACAAGAGGAAAGGAATATAGAGCACAAGGTAGACCAAGAACAAGATAAGATTAAAGAAACTGTACAACAGCATGGTGCATTCTACTCTCGAGGCGGCCAGAAGAGCAAGAAGTAGAACCTTATATCTGCCTCGACATCAAAAGTGGCAAAAGAGAAAGTGAAAAAAGGATTTTCTCTGATCTTAATCCCTCAATAGTTTCCTCGTAGACTATCCATAAGAGCTACTGGTATAGCCATAATTGGAATAAGTTGGGAAAAGATTGCTTGTGGGAATATCCCAAGTACTGTAGTGTCGGTTCTCAGCTCAACTTAAATAAAAAGAATATTGGAAATAAACTGTCCCTGGAAGCAACCATTTATGAGTCACACAATATGCCACTCTTCCATAGTTTATATTTCCTCTTGACACCACTGCAAGGTTGTAAGAGAATCAAGATGAGATGAATTCTCTGCATTATAACAATAATTTGTATTGCTATTACAACAGTAAAACACTGACGTCATACATGAACTGAACATTGAAGAGAATTGGCTGATAAACAGTATCCTGTCCTGAAAGCTGAGGTATTTTTTTGTTGTCACTGTGGCCTGGTAAGAACAGTAATGGAGGGCACAGTTTCCAGAAAATGAATCAGGGGGCTTACTTCAGTGAACATGGATACAAGACACTGAAGATGCATTGGCTATGAAAGCAACAATGGTAGGAGAATTAGTTAGAGAAAGAGAGACTTTCAGGAGGCCATGAAGAGTGACATTCTGCCAAAGACCTACTGATTGGTGATTATAAATATTATTTTGTCATTCTAATTTTTGTGTAGACGTGGAGGTGATCGCCTCTACCCATCTCACCAACTGGAGCATGAGATGGTCTCCAAACAGCAGCAGAGTGTGAAGATTCAAGTCTTCCTTCCTGATAAAACCACACAGGTAAAATTTTTATCTTTCCATGGATCAGCATGTCATTAAACAAACAAACAAAAACAAAAGACCTTTAGGTCTAATGGTATTCCACTCCATGATGTGGAGTCATACACTTATTTGGGCAGTAGTGTAGACAAAGATGGGGGAACTGATAGAGATATTAAAATACGAAAGCAGAAGGCAAGAGCAGCTTTCATAGCCCTAGGGAATTTGTGCAGGTCAAAAGAAATTATAACTAATACTAAACTCGCAACTTTTAATTCTAATGTCAAATCAGTCACTGTTGTGAGGAGCAGAAACATGGAGAACAACTAAGGCAGTAACTAATAAATTACAAGCACTCAGTAAATGGTGCCTGAGCAAAATAAAGGGAATTCAATGGTATGATAGTCACTAATGTAAAGCTTTGGGAGATAGCTAAACAAGTTCCAGTAGACCAAGAGGTAAAGAAAAGGCAACAGCGGTGGATAGGATGCACTTTGAGAAAACAAGAGAACAATATAACTAGAATGTCTTTGCACTTGAACCCACAGGGACAAAGAAATAAGAAAGACCAACAAAACAAAACAAAACATGGAGAAGGGAGTTGAGAGTAAAGTTAAAAAGATGGGGAAGACATAGGGAGAGCTGCATTCAATAACAAAGGATAGAATGACTTGAGATAAGTTGGTTAAAGACCTGTACTCCATTGGGAGTTAGAAAGGCAGAAGAAGAAGAATAGGTAGTTGATGAAAATGTTAGAAACTATGGAGATTAAATGGATCAGTTCTGTGTAAACAAAAGAATCATGTGATTAATCCAAGACTCAAGTGGTGATCAGATTATTAAATTGAACTTTCACTTGTGAGATGTGCAGCATGGGGACTTTCAGAAGGGGAAAAAAGTCACATGATATAATGTTTAACTAGTTTGTCTTAGGTAGATACTGGTTTGATTAGTTATATCCTAAGAAGTGATGTAAGCAAAGAAATGATTATGGCTGAAGCAGCTCAAATACAGACATGGATGAAAGGAGTTAAAAAACAACAATGGTAGAAAGAGCTGGTACAACAACTTGATGAACTATAGAGAATTAATTTGTTGAGTCCCAGAGAGTTTAGAAATACAGGCTTAAGAAGTAGTTAAGAGAAAGACATAAAATCGGCACATCGTCTGCTCATTGGGTTTTGAGGTAGGAACCTGTGAATGTATGATGTGTTCCTTGGAACTCAGAGTGAGGGAAGTCATATTATCATCATCATGTGCTGTGTCAGTAAGCACAGGCTGCTTAAAGTTTTTTTATCATCAAAATCACTGATCAGGGCAATGTTCTTGTCTCACCCCATTCATATGGCCAAGCCTTCCAGGTGTTTTATCTCTTCACCTTGCTCTTGCTCTGAGAATATACCCACTCCTCCCTAACAAGCATGTCATCGGAGGTGACTAATTAGGGGTGTTTTCCACAGCCAGAGTGCATCTGCCTGAGCAATGAAGAACCAATAGTCTGCAGACAAAGTCAGATCTGTCAAACACATGTGCATGCAAACAGAAAATATCCTGGATCAAGACCAAAGTCCAGGAGTGAACAAACAACCAGAACTTTCAGCCAGAGTTTACGACTGGTGAACGCTAAGACAAAGACAAAGAAACATGGGATGAGCGACTTGGTAATGAGTGAGTTAAACATAATCAATAAGAGTTATTCACACATTGGTATTTAATGAGTGAAATATCTTTGCTGCATCCTGCAGGTCCTGGATGTCACCAGCCACACTAGAATATTTGACCTGAAGAAGGAGATAGCCAGTAGGCTTTCCTTGAAGTCATTCCATGAGTACAGCCTGTTTCTGACTTCAAAGGACAAGGGTAAATCATCATCATCAAGTGCCTTGCCAGCTGGCTTAGGCATTCATGCATCTCTACAGATCTCAGTCTTTGGTGTTCTGGATCAGTTCCACTGATGATATTCCTCCATGCCACTGCCCAGCATCATTTCGCTTTGTCTGCTTCTGCCTCTTCTACCAGTGATCTTTTCAGTCATCACAATATTTCTCAGTGCTCCTTTTTTCATCACTTGACCAAAGAACTGTTTTTGACTCCTCTTCATTGTTGTATATAATGTTCTACTTTCATTAGCCCTTTTCAGACAATCATTGTTAGTTACTCTGGCAGTCCAAGGTATTCGCAACATTCTTCTCAAAAACCACATATCAGTTGCCTCTAAACTTCTCTTAATTTGTTTGCTCACAAGTTTTCCCAAAGGAAATAAAAGGAAAATGATGAAGTCTTTCACATAAACAAAAAATTGTTATTGGCATATTATACGTTGATGGGGGTGTATAAAATAATTTATGTACCGCCTTATAATGAAATAAACAAATAATTTTTGTAAAAATTTCAAGTTAGATGAAACAAATAACAATTTAACTTCACTCTAACTTCCTGAGAAGTGTCCAGTGCCTACTCAGATGGTATTGAGAAGAAGGAGGTGTTATTGTTTGTAAGGAGCACCCCTTTCCAATTAAACCTCAGGAATCTGAAATTTTTCTTGTGTTTTTTTTTTGTGTGTGGATGTCTTATCACTGCTGGGACCTGGTTAAGGCTCATCAGGTTTGACTTTTACTAAAAATCTCTCCAAAAAAAAAAAACCTTTACTTCTGCTTTCCCTCGGGATGTTTCAGAAATGTGACATTGTCTGGTCATTCCAGGCATTGTTATGACTTGTTTGGGCTTTGCTGGAGTGGTACTTGTCTGCAAAGTCATTGAAATATGTCAATAGCTCTCTCTCAAGAGAGGTAAACAACAACAGCTTGTAGTGTCATGACTAAGTTGGACTCACACAAGTGCTAGCAAGCTCTTCATATTCCAAACAAAGGAAACGTTTTTGCGTCTAAACAGAATGTATACCAAGTTGAGCGTATACCAGAGCAAACATATACAGAGTTACCACTATATATGTACGTGTGTGTATGTGTGCGCATTTGTGTGCATATGTGTGTGTGTGTGTGTGTGCGCATTTGTGTGCATATGTGTGTGTGTGTGTGTGCGCATTTGTGTGTATCTATACTGGTACTATAAAATTTGTGCACTGTTCTAAGATTCTTTTTTGTGTGTCATCTATAGAAGTAGACTGGAACACTTATGGAGACATCCATTTGCAATTAAAATGATTGACAACTAAAATCAAACCTAACCAAATATCAATTGTGTTTTGATGTTTAAATACATTAACAAAGTTCAAGATGTCATTTAATTTCCCAAAAACTTGTTTTTGGCACCTTTCCGACTAACCAGACAATATTGTGCTACAGGGATGCATGCGAATAGCAGCCCTTAGTAATACTTATCAAGTCCAGGGTTGAAGTTCCTCCTCTCTATAGCACAATTGTAAAGACCATGTGTTTTCCAAACAGCATGTTCCCTTTCTCTGTCAGCTTGGTTAACTTCAAAGAAGAGGCAACAACAAAATGTTATGAACAAAGCATGCTTCAGAAGCTCTTCAGGATTAGAAGTGCAGTGCTTTCTGTGTCCATATCTCAGAACTCCCGGCTTGAACCAGCTGCCAACCTTCTTCTTTTCTTTTGTTCACCAGCTGCAATCTCTGGCGGAAAGTCCAGGTTGTTTGTCCGTTTGGACTTTGGCTTTGTGCCAGGGCCTGAGTTTGCATGAACATCCGTTTTACTCTCTTATTTGTGTGCAGTTAGTTGTTCCTTGCTTCTAGAGCAGATGCACTCAGACTTCAAAGGAAATCCCCCAGCTAATCTACTCCTACGACGTGCTTGTTTGGGAGGCAGTGGGTTTATTCTTGTTTTCCTCACAATGGGAGTCCCGGACCAACACAGGGAAGCTACAAGCCAAGGCTAAGGAGCTAGTTAATCCTGCCAAAAAATTAGGTTTCCAAACTGCATTTCCTTGTCGTGGGATAAAGATGGTAGTATCCCCACAAACTGCACCATTCATCTAAGCACACATGTTCTCAAGACTAATATAAAATAATGGTTTTTTGTGTTGTTTTTTTGTATTTACAGTTCACTGTCTCTCAGACCGATCTTTCTATTTCGACTGCCTAGCCCATGCAGAGATATACTGGTTTAAGGAGAGCAAAAGAAATGGTGGTGAGTACATAGGTTTTAGGAATATCTTCAGTTTTGTCTTCTTGAGCTTTTTCTTCTTCCCCACCACCTGTTTCTTGCTTTTCTCTTCCTCTCCTTCCTGCACCTTCTCCCTTCTCTTTGTATTCTTCTTTGTCATCTTCTTTTTTCTTCTTCAGTGAATAATGGTTGAACTATTTTTATTTTAGCATGAGTCAGCCTCATTTCTTTAATTTTCACACAATTCATCTTGTAATGTTGTAGCAGCCAAATTATGTATAGTCTTAACAGAAAACATTACTAAAGTTTTTCTTTGGCACTTGTCAGTTACAAGTTGCAGTTTCCTGTTTTGAAAATCTGCTAATGATTACTGATATCAGAAGGGGACAATCTAAATTCTTTAGTTACATCATGAAAAGTAGAAGTAAAATAGACAAGAGTGAAAAAAAAAAGAGCAGGGGGAGATAGAGAAAAGATGCTGGACAGTTAGACATAATTGCATGGAAGATCATCTGTCTCAGAAATGACTGAAAGTACAGAATGCTTTGTATAGATATGACTACCAACATCACAATACATGGCGTAAAAGAAGCAGGTCTGCCAAAAGTAATTCTATAGCAGACACTGTCAGTTGAGTGTAAACTGTTCATCCTTCATGTATTCCAAACATGTGTTACCCAGTCCTTTTACCCCCGTGGCCAACTGCTTGAAGACCACTGTTCTAGACAATGACGTATGGGGTGAGGTGGTCAGTTCCCTTCATTCTCACCTCTTATTCCTAAAAAACTACCTGGATTTAAGACACTATAGAAGCACCAAGTATTACCTTAAAGAACCCTGCTGTTAACTACTGGATGTAAATTTGCCTAGAAAAACCACAAGAACCACAGAATGCCAGTGTTTGGTTCTGCAATGTCCTGTCAAGGATACGCAACTAACATAGGACACCCTGGTGTTAGTTATGTCCTTCCATTTTCTGATTTTCTGAAGAAAAAAAAAATTGACACTGCTCAACCTGCTGTGAGCAGCTTTGGCTGTAACTGGGGTCTGTTTTTTTTGTGTACCAAATATATTGGATAAGATGCATTATTTGTGCCAAACTTAATGGCTTCAACAGAGATTTCCGACACTATGATAGCAGCATGTATTACCTTGGTTTACCCTGCTGTCTTTTATCTTCTTCTGTTTCCAATTTTATCATCATGTAGCAGGTCCTTTGCAGAACGTCGCTCTCATCACAGTCTGCCTGAAAGAAACTCAGTCTCTCGCCAGTTCTCCCACCTCATGCACTTTCACACTCAAGGAGTCACTTAAATCCTGTGCTCATCTTCGGGTCGGTCGGCCCCTGCCCCTCCTTCCTGGTACCATGCCTTCTGCTATCCATTGTTGTGCTTGCTATGACCAAAATATTTCAGCTTTTGAGAAAGGATGCTGTTTATTAGCCAATCTTCCTTGATGTTCAGATCTTTTAAGATGTCAATATTTCTCATCTTCTTTGTCCAAGATATTCTGAGAATCTTTCTATAGCATTTCAGCTCAAAAGCCCCTATTCTCTTTTTTAAGGACTGAGATAGTCCACAAAACTCACATCCGTATGTAACCACAGGGAAGAGGCATGCTCTCAAAATTCTAATTTTAATCATCTTGCTGGTGCTTAACCATAGACTTTTAAGGTTGTTCAATCTTTGCATTGCTATGGCCATCGTTTCCAATTTTATGAAGAAATAAAAAACTATTTGACCATGCCCAACCTGGCACAAGCAGCCTATGTAAGATATAATGGCAAAAGAGTGCAGTGAGTGAATGAGTTAAAAAAAGAAATTTGTTAACATCAATTCCAAAGGACTGAAAACTGAGTTTGTTTTAAAATAAATATGTGCTACATGAGACTAAAATTAATATATCCCTGCTGAGACCAAAAGTTTGTGCATGTTAACCTAGTGTTCTGCTTAAGCATATTCATGTTAACGAAATTTTACTATATATCCAATTATTTTTTCCACTGTAGATTCTAGTTCCAAGGCGCTGGCATCTTCTACAGGTGTCCTTGTGATGTTGAAGAAGATATGGGTCAATGGACAGCCTTGTGCAGACCCAGTTGCTGACAGAATATTCCACTTTCCCCAGGTTGGTTTTGTCCATGGCATGTTTACTATTCATTATTACTGAAAACCAAAGTGCATCCACACAGATAAACAGTCCATTTCACATATTATGATTCAGTGTCTTTTTTTTTTTTTTTTTTTTTGAACATTCACTTTCTGTAAAGTCCAGATGTAATTTCTGGTTTAGTCCACTTCTGGACTTCAGTCTCGTTCCAGAACTTTTGTTGTGTGTGGGTATCCATTTTACAGATCTGGTTTACTTTGAATGCAGACTGTTGGTTTCTCTGCTTTCACTCTAGCTTTGAAGGAAAACCCTTTATTAGTCTCTTATTATGGCATGCTTGTGTGTCTGAGATGTGTGTGGAAGGAGGGAAGAGAAGAGGAGTAGGTCTACCTCTCTCCCCCTCACCTCCCCCACCCCTTCCAAAATGGGGTCCCGGAACTCACACTGGGATTTCAGTAAGTGAAATGTTGTGCTGTCTTAGGTATAGATGAATCTGTAACGCAAAGATATTGGTCTCATGTAAATGCAAACTGATCAATAGTTTGCTTAACACAGAATAATCCAAGAGTATTTAGTGCGGGTTTTTTCTTTGAATCGGATTGTGGTTGTTAACAAATGCATTTCAGCAGGACAGTGGGTTAGAATGCTGGGCCCTCTTGCACATGCCTTGGCTTTGATTTTCAGTAAAGTGGTGGTAACTAGCAGTTTGAGATGAATGCTCTAGCAGTGCTGCCCTAAATCTTCCGGCTCAAGACTACCCTGTATACAACTGGCAACGAAAACCATAATTTTGGGGTGTTTCCAAAGATAATATTATGTTTTTTGCTGCCTCCTGTCCCAAACTGATATTAACTCTTTGTATTTAAATAATGAGTTTAATCAGTTTTTGTCCTATAGTGTCTCTAGGGAACTCCTTTAGCTTTGAAATAGACTAAGTTGAAACAAGTAAAGATGTTGTTGTCATTTAGAAAAATTCTCAGCAACATTTGCCAGGTGTTTTTTTTTTTTTTTTTTCGTTTTTTTTTTTACATAAAATGGATTGTCAGAAATCACGGAATTTCAAAAACAAACAAAAACACACCAAAAAAAAACAGTTTAGTGCATATACCATCCCTTACCCTTTCCGTTCCTGTGGCATGGATGTCTCAGATAATTATTCCAGGAAGTCTGACCTAGAAAACAAATACCCAAAGAAGATGTACTTTTCGGCCACGTTGTGTAAATTTCATACAGTGCAAATATGTTACTTAGACAAATGATGAAAAAGTTCCTGGAAAAATGACTTCTCGCTGAATAGACTGCATACCCTGGATGTACTAGTTGGAGCAGCGAGATTGGAAACCCATGTGGGAGCCACCCATCGTTACATCGACCAGAACAGAATGAGAGCTGTTAGCCTAAAACTAGAGACATGCAGGATTATATTGTAGCACTTATGGCCATATCTGATGTGCAATGAAGATGATATTTAAATGAACAAAGATTAAAGTTACCTTTGTTCCTTCATTAAAAGATCATCTTCAACGCACATCAACAATGAACAATGGACATTGATAAAGAAGACGATGTGGGTGAACAACCCACCTTTGGAGATATTGCACATCTTAGCTATGGTGGCTAGATAATGAAAAGAACATGACGACCACTCACACACACAAAAATAGGTGGTCACTGTGGCCTTCCACTGGCTTGAGAATTAGCTGCAAACACGTCAGCTTCTTAATGTTAACCAGCTGTAAGCTCCAGTGAATGAAAATTTCTGATTGTTAATTCCCTTCTGGACTTTGGTCTTGTCCAGAACTTGTGTGTTGTGTGCATATTGGTTCTACAGATCAGGCTTTTGTCTGTGCAGAATGTTGATTCTCACCTCTCAGGCACATGCAAACTGACTTTGTAAGAAACAACCTAATTAGTCACCTTTAACAACTTGCTTGTTGGAGGCCAGTGGGTCTTTTCTTGTTTTCCCTAAGATATGGCCCCGAACCCATATGGAGGCCACAATTGTCTTTATTTTAACACATTCATAAAGCATGCCAAAAAAGGTTCGGACAGGCATGCTCTTTGCAAAGTGGCAAGCATTGCTTCAGAGATCTCAGGTCGTCAGCATGCCTTGGTTTTTTGCTCCGGTCTGTGCAGGAGGTTGGGAAGTGAACAGACAGACAGGCTGGTTCTGCACCCGCTGGGTGGTAAATTGATGCACAACAGGCAAGATTTGGTCATCGCCCTTTGAAAGCAAATGAGCTATGAGGAAATGTGAGAAGATCATTGAAGTTTTGATGGAATGGCACCGCAGAAAGTGGCCGGGGCAACTGGCCAATACTCTACACTCAGAGGAAAGGCAAGACAGACATAGGATCACACTGCTACTCGTGCATTTAAATTGGAATTTTGTACTCGCTGCTGAAGATTAGGATAGAGCACTTACAAGAATGTCCCAAATATTATGATGTTGGCTTTTAACTCAACTCACCAATAAGTAATATTTATATAATGCATGAGTTTGCTATATGCATATTTTATCTCCTCCGCAGTGGTTATTTGTGCAATGTGCTGAAATTCTCTTTGAGCATATGCCATAGAAGGACTTACCTAGCAGTAGGTGTTTCGTCCTTTTTAGGACGAAATTTTTTTGTTATTCGAAGCCCCACCCTGGCTTTTGCCAGGGGCCGCAATATATGCAGGCCATAAATACGGCCAATAGTCTGCACGCAGTTTCTGGGACCTCTCCACGGCGATCCTCATCCACATGGTGGCACTTTGTGTCATTGGGTGTTTATCGCTTGTGTGATGTCCTAGTGGGGTAGAAAGTCAGTCAGTCCTATGCTCCCTAAAATTGTGGTTTGCATGTTGATTTGTGTTTGGCTAAGCTAGACTGTGATAACTTCGCTTTTTAGCTCAATATGTCCTATTTCAGTAACCCTAATTGGTCACTTTTTAAAGACAGTGAGTCTATAGTTTGTGTGTGTGTGTGTGTGTGTGGGCTCCCCCCCCCTCCCCACACACACACAAATGAGGTCCAGAACATGGGAACTATTTGTGTTTAATGGTCTTTGATCTTTCAGGAGATGGCAAATTACCTGCGAGGCTATCACCAAATACCAGATACATTAGTGATGAAGTTAGCCTCTCTTGTTTACATTGCTCTGTATGCTGGTGGTGAGATCCCTGTCAACCAGCTGAGGTGAGCATTCAAACTCATATTTTTGGCACTGTTAACTTTTAAACTGGCCCTAAGCCTTGTTTTGGCAGCTGGTCTGGGAGGGAAGCTCCAGCAGGTAGACACACACAGCACTTCTTTTCTGATCCAGCAGTTTCTGCAGCATGCTTTCTTTGAAATGTATTAGTGTTACCTTTCCTTTTAAGAGAACAAGGCAGGACAATGAAGAGATCATGATGCTTTATTCAGTGGAGAATATGCTTAGGTTTCATATGTCTCCCTATAGCACGGTGTAGCACATTTGTCCAGGAAGGATGGAACAGTGACAACAGTTTGTTGAATATAATGCTTAAATTTGTTTAGAGGTAAGGGGAGCCAATTCATTGCACTAGATTTTATCCCAGATGCCTCAATCTCTCTCCTCAGAGCAGAATTTCACCTGCTGTGAATAAAGCACAAAGCATGAAACTGTAGAGATCCAGTGATTGCCTCAACAGAATCCACTAAAGTCTTGCATTAGCAAACTGAAGGATGGAATTCAAAACCAGATTAATGACCTTCAGAGCCTAAAACAAATGGCTGCTAAAGGGCTCTAATGCTATGTCAAGATAAGTAAAATGACTGCCTGTGACCTAAAAAAAAACACAACAATAAATGTGAAGAAATTGAAAAATGTCACAGACTTTTAATATCTATGCTACATAATAAACAGGTTTAGGTTTACTCAACGAATCAACATCCTGGCACAAGGGTAGTAACCCATAAGTGCTCAGTTCTACTTCTAACTCAAGTCCAAAGAATCTCAGTGCAGTGCATTAACTTTGTAGCACTGGCGAGGATCCTGAAATACTTTGGGTAGATTTTTAGCTCCAAATTTTTGTCAGGGCAGCGCCGTTAGGCTACTCTTTTTTCGATTTCCAGTTGCCAAGAGATTTTTTACTTTGTCTACAATACACACAGGTGTCCGATCTCACTACCCAGAGACAAGGGAAAATTACCAGAAGTCCATGTGAAAAAATCCCAACCTTCGCCGGGGCTTGAACCTGGGACCTCTGGCACTCGAGGCAGATGCCATGCCTTGAGACCATGCAGCCCCCCCTCCTCCCTCTCCATCCCCCCAACATAATAAATAGAGACCATTTACCACACGTCAGATTTAGGATAGCCATGGCAATGCAAAGATTAAACAGCATTAAAAGTCTATGGTTAAGGACCAGCAAGGAAATCAGAGCCAACATTTTGAAAGCATGCATATTTCCCTGTAGCAACATACGGATGTGTGTCGTGGACTGTCTGGCTGTCATTAACAAAGAAAAAATGGGCCTTTGAGCTGAAAAGCTATAGAAAGATTCTCAAAATAACATGGTCCAAGAAAAAAAAAGAAAAACTGACATCCGAAAAGAGCTGAGCATCAAAGAGCATGGGTTAGTTAACAGTATCTTGTCTGAAATATTTGATATTTTTGTCATGTGAAGTGCCACTGTGGATTAAAAACAATAATAACAGAAGGCATGGTACCAGAAAATAGGAGCAGGGGCTGACCAGCACGGAGATGGGCACAGGATATTAGAGACATATTGGGTAGGAAAGTGCCTGAGTGTATCAGCCTGGTCTACTGCTTGTCTTCCCTCCACAGTAGTCCCGCCAGGCAACCTGTCAGCTTGTTAATTTTTTCATTTTTCAGTGATGTGATCCCCAAGATCATGCCTACAGGCTACTTAAATGGCAAGAAAATTTCAGAGATTGAGACGGTAAGTTAATTAATTGTAGGGGTAAATTAATTAATTGAGAAAGTAAATTAATTCATTGTAGGGGTAAATTAATTAATCGTAGTGGTAAATGAATTAATTGTAGGGGTAAATTAATTAATTGAGCAAGTGAATGAATTAATTGTAGAGGTAAATTAATTAATTGACAAAGTAAATTGACTGATTGTGGAGGTAAGTAAATTAACTGAGAAAGTAAATTAATTAAGTGAGAAGGTAAACTAGTAAATTGAAAAGGTAAATTGGAAGTGTCATTCAATTTGGCTGTGTAAATTAATTAATTAAGAAGGTAAATTAATTTAAAATGTACATTAATTGTGATCACAGCAGAAAAAAGGTCATTAACTGATTACACAAATGAAAATGTTTTTTTTTTAAACTCCTAAGAAGGACGTTTTCCTAGAAATTAAAAAGGTGCCTGCACTCACAATAAGGTGTCTGGAAAAAAAGATGCCAGTATTTACCACAAAATTTCTATTCAGGGACGCTAAAAACAATGACGCCTTGAAAAGTGCCCCTACTGTATACCATTAAATTCCACCAGAAAAATACCCATATATGATAGAAAACAATCAATGTATGCACATCTGGTTTAGGTGGTCGTAATGAAATGAACAAAAAAGGAGCAGGTTTATAAGGAAAGCCATAGTCAACCTTCAGCCATAAAATGCTGAATGGCATGGTGAAACAACTTTTGTTCCCTATTTGTTTCCAATGCACCTTGATAAATGTATCTAGGAGCTGTTCCCTTTCAAATATAATGAAAAAATTACAGAGCTTTTGTGGCAAATTTGTTCACACACACATAAAATAGAAAAATGAGAGATGTTTTATGCCAGAGTTGTTTCCATACATAAATAAGGAAAAATGAGAGATCTTTTGACTGACTGACTGACTTTCTACCCCACCAGGACATCACACAAGCGATAAACACCCGATGACACAAAGTGCCACCATGCGGATGAGGATCGCCGTGGAGAGGTCCCAGAAACTGCGTTCAGACATTTGGCCATATTTATGGCCTGCCTATATTGCGGCCCCTGGCAAAAGCCAGAGTAGGGCTTCAAATGACAAAAAGTTTCGTCCTGAAAAGGACGAAACTGTATTAGCGAACAGAGAGATCTTTTGTACCAGAGTTGTTTAAATACACATATATTGGAAAAATTATAGATCTTTTGTACCAGAGTTGTTTTGATACACTTATAATGAAAAAGTGATGGATCTTTTGTACCAAAGTTATTCCTATTCACATATAATTGGGAAATGGTCTTTTGTACCTTGACAATAGTCATCTTTTCAATTTGCCTGAACATGTTATGAGAAGAAATAAACTTGAAAATGTTGTGACAATTGCAAAACTTGATTAGACAGGAGCAAGGGTAGGAAAAAAGATATATATATATATATATATATATATTTATATATATATATATATATATATATACACACACACACACACATATACACATACACGCACGCACGCACGCACGCACGCACACACACACACACACACACACACCTGGATGGCTTAGTTATATTGTGTGGACAGGACAAGAACACAAACTTGATCTGTGATTCTAGTGATCGTGTGAGATTGTGAACTGTGAGTGTCGTAGCATATCAGCAGTGGTCATAACGGATGCATTTTATGATAGAACTTACTCACTTAATGAATCCTTTTCTACCCTAGGGTGTAAAGGTTTGCCTGAGAGATTGCCAGACTTCTCTGTTAGCAGTCTTCTTTGTGATAACTTGTAATCATAGTTTTAGGCAGTCAGGTGATTGACTTTACATGGTAGAGGGGTTGCCTTATTACAGCCGACACACAGGCCATCTGGCTGATTCATGGTTAGCCACTGCTTTTGGAGATGCATGAAGCATTCAGTTCAGACAGACCCTCCTACTTTTCTTTGCTGAGTTCCAAAAAGAGAAGAAGTTGTAAAATTAAATACTAAGAAATTATAAGAAGTCCAGGACCGAAACCAGTTCATTAAAGAGCAACAGATTAAATGGTTTTGGCAAGCTGGCAAGAATAACCAGGTAGCAATTGCCATAGAGAGCCCCGCTAAAGGAATGTAATAAACAGAGACTACCCAGATTGGAATAACTTTAGAAAATGAAGACTGACTTACACAATACATGAGGTTGTGCACACAAAGACTTTGTTAAGATGATTGACTAGCTATGATCAGGTACAACCTTGAGCTGGGAAGGACTTTTGCCTATCCATAGTAGTTATATTTATGGTCACATATATGGTTGTCATTTCATTGGGTTTTGATTTTTGCTGTCATGTTTTCTGCTGTTCATTAATACACTGTGTCCCACCCAGTGTTGGAGGCAGTTTTGTGTTGTTTTAAAGCCCCACCCAGGCTGTTGCCGGGGGCCCTAATATAACCCAAGCTATGGGCTAAACAGGGTTTCTGGGACCAGTCCCCACGTGATCCTCATGCTAATGATGGCATTTTGTGTCACTGGGTGTTTATTGTTTGGTGTGATGTCCTGGTGGGGGTTGAACATCATCATCATCGTCTTCTGCTGTTCAACATAATACAGGTTTTGTCCTGGTGGAGTCTTCTTAGTTTTGGTGAGCTGGCTAGGCTGCTGTCATGGAGATGGCGAATTATCTGCGAGGCTAGCATCAGATACATTAGTGATGAAGTTAGCCTCTTTTGTTTATTCTATGGTGTTATTTGGGCATTGTTCATTGGCTCTTGGGTCTATTTCCCATCAGTGTCTGCTGGTCTCTTGCTGCTCTTGTTTGGCATTGATTAGATAACTGAAAGAAGAGGTTATATATAAATAAAACAAATAAGAAAGAGGAGGAGAACAGAAATAGAATGTAAAGAAAGAAAGAAAAAAAGAATAAGGCAGTCAAGTCTTTGAAGAGTTTATGTTTGGTTTTTTATAAAATGGGACTTTTTTTTTTTTTTAAGGCCCTCTTGAAGGAGATACATCAAGAAGACAAAGTTATGACATCACAGGATGCTAAAACAGTGTTCATACGAGAGTTATCCCGACTGGCCACCTATGGTGCTGTCTTCTGTGAAGTCAAGGTACAATGAATTGTCTTCTTCTCCTCCTCTGGTAATCTGGTAATCTGGTAATTTTAATTTCAGCTTCATAGCAAACGGGTCACCCCATCTTTGCTTCGCTCCTGTGCCAACGAAAAACACACAGAATGTTTATCACAGTCCGTTGTGGAAAGACTGACAAACTGCTGTCTCAGCAAATCTAGCATACACTCGCATTAAAAGCATATGGTAGCCATCCGAAGTGCTAACACAAACAGTCTGATATTAGAAATGCAGTTCATCATTGATGGTAGCAGAAGTCACCAAAAGATCAGCACTTGCACACGCGATCAATTTTAATCAAATAATGGCCCCACCAATATTGCGAAAACTGGCATCGCACCATTTTCTGAATCTACAAATCACACCACCACGTTGGTCAGTCGAAAAACATTCAAAATTAAATCCACAGCTCACAGTGTCACGCCATGCACTCAACTCAGAAGCTGGGTAATGAAACTATTTACTACCAGTCTACAAATGGAGCAAAAAAGCAACGGCCACAGTCTGGCAGAAGCAAAAAATTTTTGCTTCAGCTCAAAACAGTGGCAGTGCCTAGTGTTCATTTGGACCTGAAGCATTATGTGAGGGTTAATAAACTGTCACCCTAGCAATACCCTACTATTAGCTGGGGAAGGGATTTAGGACATTACATCCACCAGCAAGCGTCGCCCCAACAACGACCTGACTGCCTTCGTTAACGACTGTTCACCCAACAGCCATGCAGTTCTTTGGCACGAAGGAGACACCTTGAACTTGGGTTTCGGACTGCCGACTCCCTACATGAACGCTGATCACATCACCCATCTCATCTTGTGCCGATTAGTCTATAAAATATATGTCTAGCACTATATGCCCTATATGCCTAAAGGCTTGGAAATGGGTCCTTTATTGTTTTTATATAACAATCTAGGAATAAATTCTAGAATAGAACAAACACTCATAGTTATCAAAGCAATGTTTCCCCGATGTGTATTTGAACAAAGAAGACACAAACAATAGACTGCACAATTTATTGCCTGGCATATTTCGCTGTATCTCATCAGGTGCATACTACAGTAACAATTAATTAAAATGAAGCAAATAGCACCTGTAACGCTGCATATGTGGGCAGAACTGATCGACGACTGGAACAACGGGTTGCTGAACATATTCCACTATGGGTGGTAAAAGCAATGCAGAACACTAACACCTCAACAACAACGAATCAGGTGACTGGTCGAAATAATCCATCATCAGCAATTGCGTGCCCTATTCTAAATTCCGGTCACATCATTAACAGGGATGATGCATTTTGAATTATTTACAATTCGGCTAACCGTAGATTACTTCGATACGCGGAAGCTTCAGCGATTGGCAGATTGAAACCGGAACTATGTAGGCAAAAAGAAATGGTCGTTGCCCTACGTTTACCTTGGTGAAACAGTTTGAAATCTACTCGAATTTGTGTTTCAGTTTCTAGGATTCAGCTATTTGCTTCATTTTAATTAATTGTTACTGTAGTATGCACCTGATGAGATACAGCGAAATATGCCAGGCAATAAATTGTGCAGTCTATTGTTTGTGTCTTCTTTGTTCAAACTTATAGTTATATAAGTAGACTTTATTAGATTTAATAGTTTTAGAGACTTTTAACAATAATAATAATAAATTTAGAATAATTTCTTTTTTTCTGAGAGGGGGTGGAAAAAAGGGGGGGGGGGGGGGAGAAGGGGGTATAGAATTGGACTGACTTGCTTCGGATGTCCCGTTTTCAGCTCAAGATATTTTGGTCTCCCTAGCATAAGTCCCTGTTGGCACAAATTTTTTAAACACAAACTTGTGACTTTTCAGTCCCTTTGAATTTGTGTTAACACAGTTCTATTGTGTTATCTGTAAAAGATGTGTTGATTTTGCCTACAGCAAAGCCAAGTCAAGACACTGCCAACAAACTGTTTGATGGCAATCAACTATTCTGGTGTTCACATCATTGATGCAAAGACAAAGGTTAGTGGAAAACTAGAGAAATAGGGTTGCCTTTAATGTTGTTATTATTTTTGTTATGGTGCATATTGAACTTCATCTGTCAGCATGTAAGATACAATCAACACAACAACAACATTCTATACAACTACAATCTTTCTTATACAATTTATACGTAAGCCATGATTACGGTGACAATAAATCCCGTTTTCGCCAGGACTGCATCGTTGTTTAAGAATTTGTTGTTTTTAGGTAGGCCAAGACCATCAGTCAATACTCAGCATGGAGTGAACAGAGGAATTTTTGAGTATTAGAGTTAAAAATCCACCCAAAATATTTCAGGATTCTCGCTGGTGCTACAGAGCCTGTGCACTGCACTGAGCTACTTTGGACTCATACTTGAGTTATAAGTAGAACGGAGCACTTATGGGTTACTACCCATGTGCCATGATGTTGATCTGTTGTTCAAACTTCAAACTTCACTACTTCCATTTGATTTATCTTTAGCATCAATGTGGACTCATTGCCCCAGAATCTATCACTTGACCTCTCTCTCTCTCTCTCTCTCTCTCTCTCTCTCTCTCTCTCTCTCTCTCTCTCTCTCTCTCTCTCTCTCTCTCTCTCTCTCTCTCTCTCTCTCTCTCTCTCTCTCTCTCTCTCTCTCTCTCTCTCTCTCTCTCAGAGCATGAACAACATTAACAATTTCAGATAGAGTTAGTCCCAGACTGATGTATATTTTCTTTCCAGCCCTGATAATGTATAGAAGAAGCTGTTAACGGTCACATGTTATGAAATTGGTCATTATTTTTCTTTGCAGGAGATTGTCAAAACTTACAAATTTGAGAGTATCCCAAACTGGGCATATGATGACCGTTCTTTCACTCTTATTGTGGTTGAGTCTGGGAAATCCACCAAGCTTCTCATGGAGACCACAGTGGTGAGTTCACATTCACTTTTTCAGTACCAGGCTTGTGTAGTATTGGTGAACAGTAACACCACATTTTAAAATAACAACTGGAACAACTGGATGGGTTACAACAAATTCAAAACATTACATGATGCCCATTCAATTTGACAAATCCTTAGGGAGTTGTTTAGTGCCTACTGGGTTGTGTTTAGGAGCCAGTGGTTCCCATATGTTTGTCAAAAGACTACATATTTGAAGTAAAAATGTTCTTTTTGCTACACCATTTTTGTTTAATTGTTTTTTTTTTTTTTTACATGACAGACATCTTAGCAGGATTACTGAATTAGTGGCCCATAGGCCGAATCCAGCCCATGGGCCGAATCCAGTCCACAGAGGTATAGCAAGTGGCTGGGGATCATTGCCAATTGTATTGTATTAATTCTCCATCTACACTGGGGCATGGACCTTTAGCCTATGATAATCCCCATTTTCAAAATTGATAAAATTAGTTGAATAGCCAGATGCAAAAAAAAAAAAAAAAAAAATTTTTTTTCTAAGTTGAATGTCTGATTATGCAGCACTTGCAGCTGGCCAGTCCCTGCACTCACAGCCCAATATGATTAGAACTCCACACATATCTCATTGTTCTTCAGATACTTTGACCCACTCCTTTCCTTGCTCAGTGTTTTTGAGTATGCACAAATCTTTAGTGTGACTTTTGGTTGTGCCATCCAAGATTATCCTCGTTAGTCAAGTTTGTGGGCCACCATCGTGCCTCTGACTTGTCACCACTCGGACCAACCACACAACTCCCCAGGGTAAAATTTTTTGGGTGTACAAAATATAGCCCTCACCGCCGACGCATCTCTTGCGTTTGGAGGATAGAAAAGTATTGCGCACAGCAGAGACTTTTTTTTTCACATTGCTTAGCACAGGGCACACAGCTATTTCCGGGAACGTAGCAGCGAAAGGGTTAAGCTCTTATCTCCTGTCGCCCTTGGCTCTCTCTAGGGCTATATGCAGGAGGTGTTTCGTATGGCTATTAGGCAAAGAAATATAATGAGCACAGAGCATGGGAAAGACTTCATAAAATATGTAATGATGGCTGCAAGAATAACTTTAACACATTCTGGAACAAGCAGTGCATTATACATTCATTGATTACCAATGTTGTTTATTTGATGTTGTTTGCGTTCACTGGCTGTAAACTCCAGTGGAACGTTCTGGTTAGTCGTCCGTTTCTGGGCTGAGTTCTACATGTATATCTGTTTTACAGATCTCTGCAGACTGTTGTTTCTTTGCCTGTCAGGCAGATGTACTTCAGCTTCAAAAGAATCCTTCATCCTATCTTTAGGAAGACTGCAGTAAATTTCTTCTTATTCTTAGTGTTCACCAGCTGAAAATTTCTGGTTGTTCATTCACTTCTGACCTTCAGTCTTGTTCAAGAACTTAAATTTTGCATGCAGATTTGTTATACAGACTGGCTTACTTGTGTGCATACTTTTTGTTCCTTGCCGCTCATGCAGATATGCTCTGACTTGGGGAGGAGTGGGGGGGGGGGATGAGGGGAGATCCCTATTACCCACCTTTTGCTATATGCTTGTTAGGGAGGTAGTGGGTCTTTCTATTCTTTGTCTCCCCAAAATAAGGCCCCCGAACCCACACCCGTGAGTTGCCATGTGGTAGAATTCTCAGTCGAAGGACATGATAACCTTCATCTCATATATGGGGACTTCGGCTGGAAACTTCACTCATTGTACGGTGAGATCTCTATAAACATTGTCACCCAAACATGGGGTGGGGGGGGGGGGGGAGGTTTGTGAGCTGGTGAGTGCCAGAGACTATCGGGACACTGCATCTCTGGAGCCACCGGCTCCAAGATCCTCAGCCATCTCTGACTAGTCCGACATGGACCATTATCCAAGGCCCCCGGCATGGACATGTGGCAGGAATCTTGATGAGGGTCCATAAAACTAGCACAGAAAAAACAGATACCCGAAGAGTGTGCTGTACAATTTGTTCACACATGTGCCTTGGAAAGAAGTATATATTTAGTATTGCATATAGATCCCTTTAGCCCTCTCTATCTTATATAATGTTTTAGTTGAATATTGTAAATTGGAGCCTTTATTTAGAATAAACACTGCTTATGTCCATCATTATCATCATCCCATAACACTACATGTCTGTTTGGTCACCAGTTTCTGTTGAGGGTCTGATCAGCTCTATCCACCATTCAGTGGTGATGGACTTCATGGTTGAATGCCTGGGGCCTGTCCAGTCAGTCAGTTTCTGTAATCAGGTCTTTCTTGGTCTGCTTCTTCTCCTCTTTCCCTCTACTGAGCCATGCAGTTTTTTTTTTTTTTTTTTTTTTTTTTTTTTTTGTTTTTTTTTTTGAGAGGCCGTTAGATCTCATTGCATTATATTTATTGTTATATGCATAGAATGTTAAATTAGTAGTTATGTCATGCTGAGTGAGTTCAGAAATGAAAACAGATTTATACACCACATTAGAAAAGCATAGAGATAATCCTGACATCTTTCTCCAACCGTTTGCTGAAGTAAGTGGAAGAGGACGAGAAGAAAAAAGACTCACTGAAACCCACTGACATCTGCTGTAAAATCTAGTGGGACTAAAAAAGTAAAATATGCCCCGGTTTCTGTCCTCAGGGCCATAATATGGATGATCTGCTGATGTCCTACGTGGCTTGGATCATGAATGTTCAGATGCAGAAGAAGAGTGGCTACCAAGGAGGCACAGCTGGAGAGAGTGTTTGCTAAACCATTTTACTTAATCACAGCTGGAGGAAGTATCCTTGACAAAATCTGTATGCTGTTGCTAAAGAAATGTAAAAGTGGTTAATCCATTTACCTCACATTCTGAAGTCTTGGGTTCAGATTTGAACTTCTTCCTTTAATTTGTAAAGTGCAGATTGTTTCGAGATCCCAGGGATCATAAGTGCTTCAAAGTTGTGTGCTTTTGGTAACATTCTTGGCAGGCAGAAAGGCAGGTTTGCAGAGAGAGGGAGAGACTGAGTCACATAGGATTTAAACCCAGTGCAAGGAAGCTGATAATCTTACCCTTAAACTTTATTGTTTGTGCTGAAAGTTTGTGGCTGAAGAAACCATCTCTGCTAAAAGTTTGTGGCTGAAGAAATTATCTGCATTGAAAGTTTGTCCACAACAAATTGTTGCGCTTAAAGTTTATGGCTGAAGAAAATATCTACACTGGAAGTTTGTGGCTAGAGAAATTATTTGCGCTGAATGTTTTAGCTGAAGAAATTATCTGCGCTAAAAGTTTTAGCTGAAGAAATTATCTGCGCTAAAGGTTTTAACTGAAGAAATTATCTGCGCTGAAAGTCTATGGCCAAAGAAATTATCTGCGCTGAAAGTCTATGGCCAAAGAAATTATCTGCGCTAAAAGTCTATGGCCAAAGAAATTATCTGCCTTGAAAGTTATGCTAAAGACATATCTACACTTTAAGTTTGTGGCTGAAGAAATTATCGGCACTGAAGGTTTGTGCGATTTCTTGAACAAAATATAACTTCTAAAGGTTTGTGTACTGTCATTAAATGAAAGTATACCTTGTGAAGTTGTGTGCTATAGTTGAACAAACGTGTACCTTCTAAAGGTTTGTGCCCTATAACATACTGACTTGGCGTATATAACATAATGTTAAATCTGTGTCTCATTACACACTGAATGAAAGTATGTACCGTATTGTTAGATCAGTATCTCATAACGTAATCAAAGGAAGTATGAAACATAATCTTAGATTTTTGTGCCATAACATATTGAAAGGATGTGTATAACAAACTTTGATGTGTGTATTATAGCATGTTGGGAATATATAACATAAAGTGTTAGATTTGTGTGCCATAACATATTGAAAGGATATGTATAACAAAATTTAATAAGTGTGCCATAATATAGTGAGGACGTAAAACATACACGTGTACAATTGAAAGGAAGGTGTAACAACATATTTTTTATTAGGCGCATGACATATTGAAAAGAAGTTTAAATCATAAAGTATGACATCATCTTCTTCTTCTCCAAGTTCACAGGCTGAAAACTCTGGCGGAAAATATGTGGTTGTTCAATCCACTTGTGGACTTTGATCTAGCTCCAGGCTTGCGTTTTTCATGCACATCAGTTTTACAAGTCCAGCTTATTTGTGTGCAGACAGTTGGTTCTTTGCCTCTCTAGCAGATGCACTCGGACTTAGAAGGAAACACTTCTAATTGTAAAGGTAAAAAGGTAAAGTCAGGAGATGTGAACCAGCGTCATTGCACACTGTTATATTCCATAAGTGCTCTGCCACCAGTACGGACAGCTGATAAGAAACTGTCCACCTGTGTCGCCACGTAACTCTGTAGCTACAGAGACGTTCCTCCATTTACCCCAGAGTGTCAACTCTGGTACCCATTTCCTAGAGGCTGGGTGAACCCCAGGAACCGCCTGGTTTCGAACACCGACCGTGGGCTGCAGCGAGTCGCAGCTGGATTTAAAAGCGAGCTTCTTATTGACTGTGCTAATGCGGCCTCCTGATTGGTTTGATTTTACTACATGTTTGTTAGGGGAACTATTCTTTAATTTTTTATCTCCATAAATGGGGTCTTGGAAACCACATGGGGGAGCATGGCATCTGTACCATAACATTTTGAAATGCAGCACATAGTGTGCCATATCATATGGAAATGGCATTTCTCAGTAACAGCCAAGGCAGTAAAAATTAATCATGCTGGAAGGTAGTTAATAATATTGCTTTGTTTTATGTCTCATTAGATGTTAGAAAGAATCACATAACAGAACTGTTATTTTCTTTGCTATGGTATGGTGAAGAAAGTATGCATGATTGGCATTTAGAAAATAATGCACCATGTTCTTCTCAGAAGCTGATTCTTTATTGTTCTTTTTTATTTTATTTTTTTAAACGCATAAAGTTTATACAGAGTATACATGTTATATTATATGTTATGTTATCATAATTGACGTCACTGCACGTTGGGCATTCCCATGCGTACTCAGTCCTCGGATGCAGCAGCCACTCCAAAGGTCTTCTACTAATTGTTCTCATGAGAAGCTGGTTATATTGTCGCCCATCTCGGCTTCGAAGAAAGCATAGACATGCTTCATCTTGCTTTACTCCCATGTCACGCAATTGTGTTAGTGTCTGGGATACCACATTATCCACTAGCCCAGTCTTTACAGCACTGACAATATTTGCTCTGTCCATGCTTCTTCCCACATGCCTTAGTGCAGTGCTTGCTAGTTGGTCCATTCACTCATTTCGCTTTACACCTGCATGACCAGGTGTGGAGATCAAGGTGAGGGAGGTTAAGTGCGATTTTCATGTATACACGGATAGGTCATGTAAACATCTGTATTATTCAACATAACCTCTATCACTGTGTATGGCTTTATGCCAACATGAAACAGGTGCACACATTCCAAGCCCTTACCAGATTTTTTTTCATTATCATGTCTTCATATTGTCAACAAACATGCATGCTCTGGAGAAAATATCCAAAAGATGCTAACTACCCAAGATTGCTGAAATAATGCTTGCCATTTTGGATGGAGCAAATCTGTCTTCACCTTTCAATTTATTAACACAAGTGAGACCTCAGGTCAAGCTGACAGTTTGGATCTTTTTGAAGTTATCCCTTGCATATTATTTTAAGTGATTTGTACTAATGTGATATCTATTTGTAGAGATTTATTTGGTTAATGTAAAAAAAACTATCCTTACTTTTGTATAAACAGACTTAAATAAAATGTGTAAATAGTTATACTATATTGTACAATATAAGTAACATTTTACGCAATAATTCCCTGTCACTAGAGATTACAGAGACACTGTGGTTTTGTAGTTAGACGCTAGCTTGCAGTCCAAAGGTGGTAGGTTCAAATCCTCATTGCCCCTGATATTTTTTAATGACCTTTGCTCTCAAGTCAACCCAGCCTAAAATGTTTACCAGGTAAAGTCCTCGGAAGCAAAGGTGTGATGTTGAGAAAAGCCATCAGTTGAACCATCTGAGACAAAGTTAGAAATGATATTATCAGACAGACAGTAGAAACATCACCATGCAGCAAATTCATTGATAAACAGAAGATCAAATGGTTTGGTTATGTAGTAAGAATGCAGCCAGAACAACTGCCAATGCAGGCACTACACATAAAAAGATCTAAAGTGAAAGCAAGAGGTCACCCTAGGAGAAAATGGATTGATGACATTAAAGAGCTTCTACATCGACATGGAATGGCAGTAGTCAATGCTGCCCATCAAGCAATGGATCGCTAACTATTCCTCCCAACAATACTAAATGGCAGAAGTGGAAATTGATGACGATGATGATGAAGAAACAATGATGGCCTGTACCTTAAAGGTGAAACATCAGCATAACATAGTGCAAGATTTAAGACTTTTCATAACTGTCACAGGAATCTCATAGAAAAGTTGAGCTTTAAATCAAGAAAACTGATTTCTGAAGGAATTCGACACAGACACTGTGAGGCAAAGGTAGTTAATCTAATAATTCAGATTCAAGGGCTCAATATAATAATTGCTTGTCACCAAACACAGCAAGAACATTATATTATCTTTGGTAAGGTAAAGACATGTATGGTGAGTTATTTGATAATGAAAAAAGTTATGGGCAGATGAAGCAGAAGAAAGGAGAAAAAGAAGAAGCAGAATAAAAAAGAAGAAGAAGGAAAAAGAAGGCTTTGTTAGTGGTGTTGGCAGTACCTCCCTAAATATGACACTCTTCCCTTGAAGAGGAACATAGACAAATGCTCATAACATTGGTATAATATTGGTATGATATGGTAGCATAAGGTGTGGTATTAAACTAAAGAGTTTACTTACTGTTACCATCAGAGTTATTGAATTGGTTGCAGTCTATTGTTAGTGTTCATGAGATTCTGTCATTGTTTTGAAGAGGTAGCACCTTAGTTTGATCTGATTTTTTTTAGAGTCTGAAAGATAACTTTATCGGTGCTGGTAAATAAATAGTTTGGGCCAGGGGGGGCACTAGAATCTATGGGCTTAGATACCTTGAGCTCTGCCCCCCCCCCCCGCCCCCACCCCAACCAGCCATGTGTAGAAGTTATATTTGTAAGATTTGTTTATACATAGATTATTTCAAATATATTATAATATTTTTTGTCAAATCCTCCCATTATTATTATGCACTAAAACAAGGATTGGTTTTCCTGAACCCTCACCTAGAAAATGTGTGACTAAGGCCAGCCCCAATCAAATTGTTCCCACTTTGTTTTCTCTGTGTCAGCACTGCTGATTTAGGCCATTTGGGTCACCTGGGGATAGCAAATCAAATGGTTTGGTCTTTTGGAGAGGATGCCTTCTGATGCATACAAGGCATTTACAAAAAAAAGAGAGGGACGTAAACCAAGAGGAAGACCAAGAACAAGAAGGGAAGATAACATCAGAGAAACACTACAGCACCACAATGTACCTATGGCCAGAAGAGCACGAAGCCGAACCTTATATCTTCCTTGATACCTGAAGTGGTAAAAGAGGACGTAAAGAAGAAGAAGGAACACCTGGCAATGGTGTCATCTAGTTTGCCTGTGTTTGTTGTTGTAGGTTACTGACAGCTTCTTTTAAATTTGTTTAATTGCAATAGAAAAATGATGATACTGAGTGTGATGCAAGTCAAAAGGAGTATCATCATCATCGTTTAGCTGCTCCTTTGCATACAGACCATCATCATCGTTTAGCCGCCCCTTTGCATACAGACCATCATCATCG